CTACATGTTTCTGGGCACCAGACTCATCTGAGTAAAACTGAAAAGTAAATGGGGAGGACCTGCACAATACTAACACGTGCACAAGGTTGGTAGCAACTCAGTCTCAAGTGAAGAAGGAAGACAGAAAGTAGCATTCTGCCTGCTGCAGATCAACACTGTTTCTAAAGTACACATTGAAAAATAAGGATATGTTCTTGCATTAAAAAGGTGCTCCATTAGACCTTACATTTGCATAGCGTTTCCTGGTTTACAAAAGGCTTTCACATGTCCCAGCCATGTCTGAAACTAACATCAACCCTATGAAATCAACCGAGCAGGGAGTACTAACCCCATTTCTCGGATGTGGGATTGAGCTCAAAACTGGGAAGTTAAATAGTAATCGGCTGAGACTCAAAACCAGAGCAAAGCCTTCATCAACTAACTCCTCACCAATCACATGCTGTGCACACGGCAGTGAGTGACGGGAACAGAACTGTTAGCGACGCCACCAAACTGGTAAGCCCCGTTCACAGCAGCACTGCTCACGACAGCCCGAAGCAACCCAAGTGTCAACGACAGATGAACGAACGTGCAAATGCAGCTCATCCACAGGATGAGTTATTGTGGAGCCTTGGAAAGGAAGAATTCTGTCACCTGCCACGGCATGCAGGTGTTGCTAAGTGAAATAAGGCAGCCATAAAGACAAATACTGTATGATTCCGGTCACATGAGGCAGCTACAATAGGCAGGTTCCTAAGGATAAAGGAGAATGGATGTAAGCAGGGGCCAGGGAAGGAAAAGTGGTGCGTTCTTGTTTATGGGCACAGAGTTTCTGTTCAGGAAGGCGCCAAAGTCCGGAGATGAACAGTGACCATAGTTGTGCAACACTGTGAATGCGCTCCATGCCACTGAACTGCACACTTACATGGTGACATTGGTAAATTTTATGTTAGGCATATTTCAACAAAATAAGTGAAATATTTCTAAAAAACTGACTATCTGGTCCCTGTCTTCAAGAAGTATTTTGTCTTTTTCTTTTTTTAAAGATTTATTTGTTTACTCGAAAGGTGGAGTTACAGAGAGAGGGCAAGAAACAGAGAGAGAATCTTCCACCCTCTGCACTCCCCAAATGACAGCAACCTGGGCCCATCATCCGCTGCTTTCCCAGGACATTGGCAGGGAGATGGACGGGACGTGGAGCAGCCAGGACTCCAGCTGATGCCCACATGGGATGCTGACGTTGCAGGTGGCGGCTTAACTCGCCACATCACAGGGTTTTTCTCAGATGGCAAGTATGGTACATCTCCAGAATTTCAATAAAAAGATTGACTTGACCGTCAAGACACACATGACAGTTACTCTTTAGAAATTTCTTATTTATTTTCATTTTAGTTTAAAAGGCAGATGAGAGAGACAGAGAGGGATCTTCCATCTACTGCTTTACCCCCCAAAATGGCCGCTACAGCCAGGGTTGGGCCAGGCCAAAGGCAAGAGCCTGGAACTCCCAGGTTTTCCATGGCAGGGAGGGGGCGGGGACCAAGCACTTGAGCTATCATCTTCTGCCTCCCATGCTGCACATCAGCAAGAAGCTGGATCAGAAGCAGAAGAGCTGGGGCGCTAACCAGGCATTCTCTGCAGGATGCAGGCATCCAAGCAGCTCCTTCACTGTGGCACCGATGCTCACCCCGCGTCACCCTTTCAACCACAAATAAGAACACACTTTTGTGACAATGAACCACAGTCACGTTGCTGGGCAACCATTACCACCATCATCTCCAGAACGTCTGCATCTCCCTCTACTAAAATTCTGTGCTACTGTTTCCGGACATGAGCCCTCCCAGCTCCTGGCCACCACCAGACCACAGTCTGTCTCCATCAACTTGACAGTTCTGGAAACAAGATACTTCGCAGAAACGGAATCACACAGCCTTCACCAGTATTTGACTGGCTGATTTCACTTAGATAATGGGCTCAAGGTTCATCCATGTTGTGGCACTTATCAGAATTTCCTTCTTTTTGAAGGCTGAGTAATATTCCATTATTTGCATAGAATGCGTGTGTTTATCTGTAGGAACATGTAGGAGCATGTACGGTAGCATTGCTACATATCCTCCCTTTTTTTAAAAGATGTATTTATTTATTTGGAAGTCAAAGTTACACAGAGAGAGAAGGAGAGGCAGACAGAGAGAGGTCTTCCATCCACTGGTTCACTACCCAATTGGCCATAATGGCTGGAGCTGTGCCTATCCAAAGCCAGGAGCCAGGAGCTCCCACGTGGGTGCAGGGGCCCAAGGACTTGGGCCATCTTCTACTGCTTTCCCAGGCCACAGCAGGGAGCTGGATCGGAAGTGGAGCAGCCGGGACTAGAACACAGCGCTGGCCCCGATGTTGAGCTCTTTCCACATGCTCGTTCTTCCGAGACACATCTGCACAAGTCCTGTTTGAAAAACTTGCAGGAAGTAGAAAGATCGGCATTCATGCAGAAGGGGACACGTAGCAATGCTAGCGTGCGTGCTTAACCCTTCCTGCAGAGCACCCTACTGTAAGAAACCCAATCAGAGGCAGTTCAGAGTTGAAGCAACCGAGGATGATAGCCTGGGCTGGTGACAGCAGTGACAATGGTGAGAGAGACAGATGCAGACTTGAGCCCGGTTTTGGCAATGAATGTGGCAGAACTGGCTGCTGGCTGCAGATACAGGAGGAGAGGCCAAGTTGACCTTCTGCTTTAATTAGTCCCCTCCATATAAGCCAGTGAAATTCAAGTGGCAGCTTTCAAATTGTGACAGATTGAAAGCTAACAGTAGGTGGGCTGGCGCTGTGGCTTAGTGGGTAAAGCTGCCACCTGCAGTGCCGGCATCCCATATGGGCACCAGTTCAAGTCCCAGTTGCTCCACTTCCAATCCAGCTCTCTGCTATGGCCTGGGAAAGCAGTAGAAGATGGTCCAAGTCCTTGGGCTCCTGCATCCATGTTAGACTGGGAAGAGGGTCCTGGCTCCTGGCTTCAGATTGGCACAGCTCTGACCATTGCAGCCAACTGGGGAGTGAACCAGTAGATGGAAGACCTCTCTCTCTGCCTCTCCTTCTCTCTGTGTGTAACTTTCGACTTATAAGTAAATAAATAAATGAAAGAAAATGAAAAATAACTTTCATTCTCCATCTAACAAAAGTAACTTCCAAGAATGTGGCTGAAATACAGAACTATGTAGGAAAACAAACCCTGGAGCAGTTGATACCAGCAGATACACCACTTTATACCAGTTTATACCAGTTTATACCAGCAGACCCGACTCCCGGAAGTTATTTCTAACAGATGCACACAAGGGGATGGAAAACGACCCCAGGAAGAAACAGCAACAGCCAAGAAGGAACAGTAACCAAGAAAACACGAGGCTTGAGGCTACAGTCTAGGCACTGCCGTGGTGAGCGTTCGGGGTAGCATCTGGGGCACCTGCATCCCGTATCGGGGCCTGAACTCAGGTCCCAGCTTTGCTCCCTGTTGCCACTTCCTGCTAATGCAGAGCCTGGGAGGCAGCAGGCGATGGCCCAAGTAGTTGGGTCCCTGCCACCCACCTGGGAGACTCAGACTGACTTCTGGTTCCTGGCTTCTGCCTGGCCCAGCCCTGAGTGTTGCAGGCATTTGGGGAATGGATCACCAAAGGAGCATTCTCTCTCTCTTTCTGCCTCTAAAGTAAATATATTAAAATATAGCTATTGCTTCCCATACAAAGCCAAAAAATGTGTTTTGAGGAGCTAAACATTCCTAACGGAACTAAGGTGCCGCATAAGGGCAGCACGGAGGCCGGGAAGGAAGTGGCGTGTGCACGAATCCTAGGCCTTTTCTTATTCCCCAGGAAGTCTGAACACTGACTAATTTCAGAACAAACTGGAGTTAGATATGCATATAAAAATTTCTAAGCCTGTAAAGGAACAGAATATAGATATTAAATTCCAAAAGAAGACAGAGAAAAATGGAACTGGGTTGACGTGGAGAGGAATCTGGATTAATGTAAAAGAAGGCAAGAAGGAGGATACATCATGATTGTGTTTAATCGCTATGATTTAAAACATCCTCATAAAAAGTAACTAGACATTTCTTTTGCAAAATAAAAATTGTTTATTTGTTTTTACCCCCAAGTATTTTAAGTCATTTAATAACATTTTAATTTTATGTTCATGGATTTTGAAAAAATACAAATAAAGCAATACTTCTCCTTCTGCATAGCTTTAAAAATTGTTTTTCAAGATATTTTAGTAGCCCAAGCCCAAATGTGGACATGGAGCACACACTTCACTAATCACTTGTTGGAAAACACCTAGGTCAAAATGAACAGCCAACTGTGATTCACTGTTTAAACAGTAGCCAGCTCTACACACATCCACACCGCCAAACAGGCGGCCAAGGCCAGCTCACAGGGCTCCGGCCACGGGCAGCACTGGGAGCTCCACGCAACGACGCTCCACAGAATCCACCTGCCAAGCACTCGGACCTCAGGAAAGACTCAGTGACTCTGCCGAGGGCTTGTTTCAGCAAAATGCACAGAAGAAAGGAGCACGCCTTTCTCTGTTAACAGAATTGCAAGTGGTGACTAGAGACTGGGTCTCGGAGACAAACACGTCAGCAAGTCAAGGAAAGCCAGCGCTCTGGGAGGTTCCAGGCCGTGGAGTCCCCACACCCACCCGCACATCCCCCAGGAGCTCTCCTCTGCCCTCAGCAACCGCCCAGTCCCAGCTGCCCTCCCCAGGGTTCCTGGAGCCCCGAGGCTGCCCCTGTTCTAAAGGAGCAGAGAACCTGGGACAGGTGTCTGTGCTTGACAGCACAGGGTGAGCAGGTTCCTCCTGGGAGGGACGTGAGACCACGCCTGGGGACAGAAATGCACTGGTCTGGTGCCAGAGCATGAGACAGAGGCGAGAGCCAGGGAACCCAGTGGGTGGGAGGGGACACGCCTGGATTTCAGCAGACAGTGGCCTTCGCATCCACCCTGGCTGCATGTGCCACACCCCCGAGCTCGCTAACCACTGACCTGGACAAAGCAAGGCCGCATGGAGGACCGGGCTTTTAGAAGGCATGGTGTTCTGCACTTAGCTGCTGCATCTTCACTTACTCTCATTCAAGGCGCTCGACTCAGTTGCTGCTGAGTCACTGCGGGGCAACGGGGACTCCTGTCCCCCAACCATCCAGACTGGACCCAGCTGACCCAGCTCCTGGGTTTTTATCCTTGGCCATCTTGGCATGGCCTTCTTATTCCACCACAACCCACCAGCTGCTTTCCACGGTCCTGTGTTTGCAATGTCACAGGTCTGAGATACAAATGGGAAGATCAGAGGATCAGAGCTGGGTGACAGCTGGGTGCCAGAGGGCGGGTCAGCTGGCCACCAGACCAGGGATCCAAAGGTCAGAGAGACAACACCCTGTGCCCGCTGCCCTCCCACTGTCTGCTCTGCACCCTGGCCCCGGGGCGTTCACTCCATCCCGTCAGGCCATGGCAGGACACTTGAGTGTGGCCACCAGCCACCTCCCACCCAGCTCAGTGCAAATGGAAAACAGCCCTCACATCTAGAACGGGGAGAACACGAACGTCTACCATGCGGATACCACTACAGAGCGAGGAACTGCCCCACAGGTGGGGACACCTGCCCCCAGGGCCACAGGAGGCCCCTCAGGCCCGGGATGCCTCCTCCCCTGGCCAACTCTCCTGCCCCTGCTCCAGATCTGCACCAGGCCCTGCCCGCAGCCCCTTTTCCTCCTGGCCTCCCCTCCTTGGGCATTATGTCCCCAAACCCCACCTCCCCAGAACACCTCCAGGCTGAGCCTGCCTCCCACATCCCCAGGGAAGCGCTTCCCAGGCTCCCAACACACAGTCAGAGGGTCCCCAGCAGAGCCCAGGGCAGGCACTGCCCCCCTGGAATTATCCACTTGAATTCCTCCCACGCTGTTACTTGTTCACTTAGCAACTGGAGTCTCTGACTCCGGGCCTCCCATGGGAGGCAGTTTCTGAAACACAGGGATTCACCCTGTCTCCACGGCACCCAGCTCTCCCCCTGGAGAGTCAGCCCCAAGCCGAGCTTGTGCACAGCCCTTGCCCTTCCTCCTTGCAAGCTCTCTCCTCCACCAGCCGCCTCTGCCTTCTCACCGGTGCAAACTGTCAGAACACCCAGCTTTTCAGAATCTGAGCAACTGTCTGAAATGAGGATCCTAAAACAGACAAGCGTCAGGGACGGCATCTGACAGTCAAGACAGCAGGAAAGATGCTGGAGAGGGGCTGATTCCCAGCTCCAGCCTCCTGCTAATGCAGACCCCGGGAGGTTACAGTGACAGCTCCAGGCATTGGGTTCCTGCCACCCACCTGAGAGACCTGAGCTGAGTACCAGGTCTCAGCCTCAGCCTGGCCGCTGGAGGACTAGCCTGGCCGCTGTGAGCCAGTGGGTGAGAGTGTGCACTGGCTCTCTCCCAATCTCTCCCAGCCCCCAGCAAATACATAGGTAACATTTTTTGAGGACAGACAAGCGCCACAAGGGCTCCAGTCTCCTGTGGGAACCAAGCAAGGGCTGGAAACAAGCGGCTGCCCCGGGCCAGCTGCACGCATGCAGGGTTCCTCACCAGATAAAGGCAGGTCAGGTGTTTCCGAAGGGGGACACTCGGGGTCAGCGAGGCGGCCACAGAGCCAAGCTACCTCTTTATCCCCACTGCACTCCCCGCCGAGTGACAGCCACAGGCGCCTGTGGACCGCCCTTCTCCCCGAGTTGGACTGCCAGTGTGAGAGGCCCGGGCTGTCCGGCGTCGGTGGGACGGAGCTCTGGCTCAGGACATCCCCGCCAGGCGTGGGGAGGAAGGAGCCTGCTGGACAGCGACGCCCTGGGCGGGCGGCGGGGCAAAGGGTTCAGAGGCCACGTCCTTGTCCAGCACTCAAGGGAGCGCGCGCGGAGGGCCAGGGTCCCTGCCCCGCAGACCAAGACAAAGCCTTGTCTCTGTCCGTCCGCAGACCGACCACGCGTCCCGCGGAGGCCACCGGCCACGCCGCTGGACGTCGCAAGAGAACCGACGGGGAGAGCAGCTCAGACGGGAGTCCCTCCATGCTGCCATCGGCGCCCAGGAAGGCGGCGGGGTTCCGCAGGGCGGGCTCCTCCCTCCAGGAACCCTGTGGCCCTGGGGCCGGCACTGCCCTGCCCTGCCCTGCCCTGCCCGGCCCTGCTCTGCCCGGGCCCCGCGGGCTTCCCGGGATGGCCAGCGGTTCCTCCTTCGCCTCCCGCGATTGTTTCCCTCTCCTCTCCCTCCTGCCGAGACAAACTCTCCGGGGGACCCCGGCCGCGCCCCACCAGCCCCCGGGCGGCGACTGGGGCGTCCTGGACGGGCTCGTCGTGAGGCGCTGGGGCCCAGAGCCTCAGCACCGGAGACACGGGAAGGCCGGGACGCGCGCTCCCCTCACCTGCGGCTCCGCGGACGGCCTCGGCCTCCATGCTCCGGCTCCCGCGCCACGCCCGGGCTCGTCCGCCGCCGCCTCCCTGCGTCCCGCTCCCTCGGGGCGCCCCGCCCCGCCCCGGGGCCGCCGCCAGCGCCCGCCCCCGGCACCCTGAGCTGGAGAGAATTGGCGAGGGTGGAAGGCGCCCTCGGCTTTCGGGAACAGGGACCTGCGGGCCGCCGTCGCGCTGGATCCTCGCGGGTTCCCCTAGACCTGGCGGCCGCCACCTGCCACTCCCTGCTTCTGTCGGGAGCGTGCGGGGGTCGGGGTGGGGGGCTCTGGCAGGTGCAGGCAGGAAGCTGGGCTGGGGCGGCTGCGAGCGGCCGTGTCCCTGCGCTTGTGAGGGAACACCCGCGGCCCCCCGACACGCGTGCCCTCACGGACTCGTGTGTGTGTGTGTGTGTGTGTGTGTGTGTGTGAATATAATCTATAACATTATAATACAGTGCCCAAAGTCAACAAATACTGCCGTCCCTTTGGGTTTCTCACTTTTTGGGCTTCCTTGGGCAGCCTGAGAATGCCCCAAAGCTTCCAGTGCTGTTTCTGGATTCTCCTCCCGCCAGTGTTCAGGATCATGGTGTCAGGAACACCTTCGGTTCCTCGCTCGCGCCCGCCCGTGGTGCCTCCTGACCCTCACAGATCTGGATGACCTCTTTAACTGTGTATTATTCCCACGCATATCGTAGTTTCCATTTTGTTGGCACTTCTACTATTTCTGTAACAACACCACAAGATTTTAATTACTGTCACTTTACCGCATCCTTGGCTGCGCCGGCTGGGAACCCATTCTCATGGAACACCAGAAGTAGGTCCTTATGGAGGCTTGATGATGGTTGTGTCCGGTCTTTAGCATCTACAGAGGTTTCCGTCTGCCACCCAAGAACACCGTCTACTTTGGTCTGTTCAGGTCTTCACTTCTTTGTGTTCTTGCTGAAGGTCCCGGTTTCCCATAGCTGAATTTCAGATTTCTTGCTAGCATTCTCTGTATGTGTTTGTGATATTCAATGGCTACCATGAACCGGCTTTCTTTTCTCCAATTACATTAGAACTGGTTGTTTATGAACACGCTAGCTTGGGTACAGGCCAGTCTTGTTTGCGGCCACTTTTGAGAGGTTCAATCATTTCGTTAAGGCAAATTATATTTTTCCTAAAGATTTATTTATTTATCTGAAAGGCAGAGGTAGAGAGGCAGAGAGGAGAGAGAGAGAGAGAGAGAGTCTTCCATCCACTGGTTCACTTTCCAAATGGCCACAATGGCTGAAGCTGAGCCGATCTGAAACCAGGAGCCAGGAGCTTCTTCTGGGTCTCCCACGTGGACACAGGAGCCCAAGCACCTGGCTCATCTTCTACTGCTTTCCCAGCCATGGCAGAGAGCTGGATTGGAAAGTGGAGCAGCTGGGACTCATAACCAGTGGCCATATGGGATGCCGGCACTGCAGGCGGTGGCTTTATCAGCTATGCCATAGTGCTGGCCCCGGTCCAGTCATTTTTAAAAGTCAGTTATTAGGGCAAGAATTTGGTGCAGCAGTTAAAGCCTCACTGTGGACGCCCTCCTGGAATATTGGAGTGCCTGAGTCTGAACTTTTTTTTTTTTTTTTTAAGATTTATTTATTTATTTGAAAGTCAGAGTTACACAAAGAGAGGAGAGGCAGAGAGAGAGGTCTTCCATCCGATGGTTCACTCCCCAATTGGCCTCAACGGCCAGAGCTGCGCTGATCCAAAGCCAGGAGCCAGGAGCCTCCTCCGGGTCTCCCACGTGGGTGCAGGGGTTCAAGGAGTAGGGCCATCTTCCACTGCTCTCCCAGGCCATAGCAGAGAGCTGGATTGGAAGTAAAGCAGCCAGTACTAGCTAGAGCCAGCGCCCATATGGATGCCGGCGCTTCAGGCCAGGGCGTTAACCCGCTCTGCCTGAGTCTGAACTTCTGGCAGCAGATGACGGCTCATGTGGTTGATCCCTGCCACAGGGCTGGCAACCTCAGAATGAATTGTGGGCTCCTGGCTTCAGCCTGGCCCAGCCCTGGTTGTTGTGAGCATTTAGGGAGAGAACCAGTGGATGAAAGATAGAGCTCAAACTCTCTCTCTGTCTCTCTCTCAAATAAATAAGATGAAAATTATCCTTGATTTTCCAGGAGAACAATCGGATGCTCTGCAAGTAAGCAATGGGGTTTCGAAGCCTTCCCCAAACCTGCTCGGCTTCTCAGCACTCACTGCCGACACCAAAGCTGCTCTGGCTCCCACCAAGAAAAGTGTCCACGGGGAAACAGGCCCTGTGACAGCCGGGATCAGGCCCCCAGGGCCCCCTCCCCCTGCTGCACCTGCCATCTGCCCCATTAATCTACAGGGAATCTCCTCCGTGTTAAGGACACCATTGTTACAGTCACTCCCAAGACACTCGTGAAGTTGGAAAGAAAAAAATATCCAGCATTTAAACCATAGGGATAGGGATAGCAAGCTACTGAATTTTAATAAGCGAACCAATTCTGGTTGTCACTGTCGCTGCTTTTTCAGTCAAGGAAAAGTCCTTAAAAAGGCATGGGCAAGACTCAGCAGAACTCGAAGGGGAAAAATATGAAAGAGGAAATAGGTGAATGTTTCTCCTATAAAACCTAAGGAAAATAGTCCCTTGAGGGGCATCATAGAAGACGTCAGGCATTTTAAACCGCTCATTCTGAAGCTCTTAATGCACAGGTCATAGGTGACGTTAAAAAGCCCGGCATCTTCTACACCAGTTTCATCTGGAATGTTGGGGATCATGCCAGCGTTGCACCGGGGTCTCTGACACACCAGGTCCCTGTTTTAAGACAGCATCACAGGGTGCATTCGGAACGTCAGCCGAGTCCTGGCATCGGAGGCTCCGGCATCGGAGGCTCCGTCAGGGAGTCCCGGGGTCGGAGGCTCCGTCAGGCAGTGTTGCAAGCGCTTGGAAGGCAAGAGCGGAGGAAGTCTGAAACAAACGACAGCGTCTCACACCTTCAGGAGACGCAGTAGAGAGGCCCGGTCTTCCCTGCCTGCCTGCGGCCTCCAAACCCTGCCTGGTGCAGCTCCCACTGCCCGCGGTCGGCAGGAGCAGGGAGTGGGGAGGGACGCTGCCGTTGACTCTTGTCAAATGAGGGGGAAATACTGATATGTGGTTCAGTGAGTTAATCTGTAGTGAAATCATAATACTACAATTTCAAACAAAAATTGTCACTTTTATTTTTAAAGAATGTTTATTTACTTATTTGACAAGAGTTACAGAAAGAAAGGGGGAGGGAAGAGAGAGAGATCTTCCATCCTCTGTTTCACTCTCCAGATGGCCGCAGCTCGGCTGAAGCTAGGAGCCTGGAACTCTCCCTGTCTCCCACGTGGGTGGCAGGAGTCCAGGCACTTGGACCACCTCTGGCTGCTTCCCCAGGTGCATTAGCAGGGAGCTGGATCAGAAGTGGAGCAGCCGGGATGTGAAGTGGAGCTCATGTGGGCGCAGGCATTGCAGGCAGATCCGTGTTAGTATTTTAATTCACAGTAATCTACTTACTAATTTACCTGGAAGTTGTCGGAGGACAGTAACTCCGCTCTCCCATCCTCGGTTTGGCTTTCTGCAGTTTTAGTTACTCTCAGTCAACCACGTTCTGCAAACAGCAAAAGAAAAAATTCCAGAAATAAGGAATCGATGAATCCCACTCTGTGCGCTGCTGTGAATGCCTGACCTTCCCACTGCGCCCTCCCAGGACGTGAAGCTCTCTGCCCAGTGTCTCCACCACGTGGTGCTCACTTAGGGGCCAGCTCCGGTGTCAGGTGGGCTGAGATGGTGCTGCAGTGCCAGGGCTTGTTACTGTGGGAGGTTCCAGGCATCCCCAGGGGGTCGTGGTCCCCACCCCCTACACACAGATAAGGGAGACTCCACCCTAGAACCCTGCTCTCCACAGCCAGATCAGGTGTCCACCCAGAGAAACATCTCATCCTGCTGCTGGAGTTTTCAAACTGCAGCCAAGAGCCCAGGCTGGCCCACTGCCTTTTATACAGCCTGAGAGCTAAGAATGGTTTCTACACCTGTAAATAGAAGGGAAAAAAATCAAAGAATGTTTCATGATAGGTCAGCTGGGAGATTCAAAATTCAGTGTGCATGAATCATTATCGGAGCAGTCACACCCTCATTTACATATTATCTATGCTGCCTTGACACCAGGGCAGCAGAGCTGAAGGATGCAGAGCCCACAGAGGCCAGCAAGGCCTCCTGGGTAGTTTCTGGCCCTGTAGAGACACCATGTGCTGGCCGGGCCCTGCAGGGGCAGGCGCGTGAGAGGAAAGGAATAGCAAGGGTGAGTCCCAGGGCTGCCTTGCTGCGGTAATGTTTCTGGAGAATCAGTGCTCCGACAAAAACTCACTTGGCTCTTCAAAGAGTTCCTGGAAGATGTATATTAAGAAAAAACTACACATGGATTTCCAAATATTTTGCAGCAAAATAAATTCATCTTTTTAAAAAAAAAATGAGGAAGGGCTAAAGAGACACACAGAAAGACAGATAAAGAGAGAGGTCCCATCCACTGGTTCACTCCTTAAATGTTTGCAACCACTGCGGCTGGGTCAGGGCCAGGAGTCTGGAGCTCCATCCAGGTCTTCCATGTGGGTGGCAGGAATGCATTTACTTGGGCATCACCTACTGCCTTCCAGGGCCTGCATTGGTAGGAAGCTGGAGTTAGGAACCACAGCCGGGAATTGAACCCAGGTACTCCAGTATGAGATAAGTTAACCTATATTTTAAATTAATTAGTTTTTTTTTTTTTTTTTCAAAAGAGAGACACAGATGGAGTTCTCTTGCATCCGTTGGTTCACTTCCCAACTCCAACAGCTGGGACCAGGCCACAGTGAGAGGCGGGACCTGGGAACTCAGTCCAGCCGACCACATGCACGGCAGGGTGTGCCTTAGCTGGAAGCTGGGACTGGGAGCAGAGCAGAGACTCGAGCCCAGGCCCTCCGATGTGGGATGCAGGACCCCAGTGGAGTCTTCACTGTCATGCCACACACCAGCCCCAGATGAGGGCATCTTCCAGGCTAAACACACACTCCTAAACTTACACTTTAGTTACACTTTCCATGAGCTATCCAAAGCCTTCTGTAAATTTCGCAGCAGCCCTAAGAAGCTGGTCTGGAGCAGGGGTTCTGGCGTGGAGGGCGTGCTCATAGGCAGCATTATTCTCCAGACCTACAGTGCTTCTCCATGATCGGTGCGCTGTCCCCACCTCCCTGAGGAATTTGACCAGTTGGATTAAGTTTCATTTATGTCAAGGATACCAAAAAATATGTCATGTTGTAAGAGCTGCTTCTCTCAGAGACAAAAAACAAACACTCGTAATCCTTTCTCTTGCTTAAGCAGGAAGTCGATATGTGCCAATGGGAAATTTAAAACAAACCCCACCAAGTTTTAGGTCTGGGTCAAAACCTGAAATATTTCAAAACATGAAATATTTTGGGTCTCGCGATCATGTAATCTTGGCCGCCCACATCCGCCGTCCCTGTGAGAACACACGTGTGCTGTTGCTTCCTCTCCAGGTCACTAAGAGGGTCACACTTACCCTCTTGAGTCAAATATGATTACAAGTATTTTCCTCTCGGGAATCCGACTGGTAAGAAAGATCCCCCGGGCTCTCTATGAAATAAACCATCCCCTATAGTTGCCTCACTCCTCAATCTTCCTATTTCCTGGGCGTTAAGAGTGCCTTTGACGTCGCAGTTGTGAGAGACCATTTGTTTTCACAATGGAAAAGAAAATAAAAGCTCAGACTCCACACTTCTCTGAACTGTTTTCATTTTAGAGGGCAGGAGTGTGCATGCGCGCGCGTGTGTGTGTGTGCGCACACACACGCAGGGGGAGTGAATTCAACAGCAGACATGCCGCTGTCACTAAATAAAAATATCTTGGATCTTTTGTATTTTTGCTTTATTCATTACACAATTAGAGAAAACCTTAGGGCACAAGAAAATAAGTGAATTAGGGAAAAGCGAAAACTCCAGGACACACTGAAGTTTAAGTTAAAATAAGAAAGACCCGAATCAAATCTCACAAATAGAACAGTAAGAATTGCAGCTGGCATCTTAGCCACTCGGGGCACAGTTAACGGTAGCAGACACAAGGGGCAACACCAGACCTGCTTAGTGCTGAGACCAGAGTCCGACCCTGCGGAACCCACACGGCGAGTGTGGGCTTCACCGCCCCGTTCAGCCTCGGCGCCCTCCTGAGCCGGGGACGTGGCAGGGACGGGGGAGATGAGACAACATTTGCAAACATGTGAAGGGAGTGCGAGAAACTGGCAAACTGCCTTCAAGATGGATTTTTTTACAGTGTCGGCCTTAATCTCAAACTAAGGTGAGCCCTCTGCATCCCTGTCAAATCAAGAGGCTGCAGTCTCCCAGGGCAGCGGGGGTTGGGGGGCAGGCGAGTGGGAGCAGGTGTGATCCCACTGTTCTAGGCTGTCACAAGGCCCGTGACCCCCCCCCTCCAGGGGCCAATTACACAGAAGCATGGTTGCTGGGAAGTCCCAGAGAGCTTCTAGTCCTTGACAGTGACCCAATTAAAGAGGTGCAGAGGTGCACTTTTTTTTTTTTTTTTTAATGAGGGGAGCAATTAAGTAGCCAGAGCCATGCGGTCTGAATCTCCCATACAGGGCACACAGAACTTTCCAGAAGAAGTAAGATGTTCACAACGCTCTGCCTGCCTCCCTGCGTGGAACTTCTCCTGGCCACATTGGGGTGGGGACAGAAGGTTACGTTTTTGTTCTTATTGCACAACTTTTGAAAAACAGTATTTTCAACTTCAGAAAAACCAAATAGTGTTCTCTGAGAGGGCAAGCTATGGCACATGGTGGCTTCTTCTGTGAAGAACATAGCCCAAAGGTTAGTGTTGCTGACACAGTTTAAGAGGGGAGGCATTCAGGGGCAGAGTCGGAGGGTGGGCACCGTGGGAGGCACTGTTGGCCTCAGGACCAGGTAGGAAGTCAGCCTGGATCTGCCTGCAGGGCTGGCAGCCCTGGGACCTGGCCTACACCGGGCATCATGGGGGTGCCGTGCTGCCCAGGCAGAGGCTAGAAGTCCTGCACCAACAGCTTCTGGGTGCGGCGCTGGCAACCAGCACCTTAAACGCAGGGGCCATAAACTTCACCTGCGGGCAGCAAGGAGGTTGGTTTTGGTTTTGCAACGTTTGTAGAATTCACGGAAGAGCATCCAAATGTCCTCAGACCTTCACAGCCCAACACAGAGAGGCTCTGGCAGGGGAGGAAAAACCAAGGTGGAAACCAACAGTGGACACAGACCTGCTCTCCAGGCTGGCCCTGGATGGCACTGGACCAAGCACATTTTAGTCTTTGGTCCCAGACACCTTTGCCGGGGACCAATGGTCGCTGAGCCCAGGTGCACTTTCTGGCCATTCTGAGCCACAAGCTGCCGCCCAGACACACAGGCCCAGAAAGTTCCTGGTGGCGTCCCGACTTCACCCTCTGCAGGTCTGTGGCCAGCAGCGCCCTGCACCGGCTGTGTCTGCCTGCAGTGGCATCACCTTACCACAGCTCCCTGCAGAGTCTTGGGCCACAGCCAGGCTCCACACCAGTGCCCACTGCGCCTGACGCCGGAGGTGCACACACGCTCCCCACGTCGGCGTCATGGATCCCCAGGCCGGCTGTGTGGTGGTGACGGGTAAGAGCCTCCTTCTCAGCTTTCCCATTTGCCCCTGGAATGCTCACTTGCCTGATCTGGCGTGAACAGCTCCGGGAGGGGGACAGAGTGGCAGCTGGCGGTGTTGCTGACTGCGAATGCAAGCTCGCTTCCTGCTATGCCCTGTAAACCCGTCAGGCACCAGAGGATTTCCGGCTTCCGCCCCGCACTGGCTCCACATGACCCCTGAGTGGCCGCAGCTTAAGTTTGACGTGCCCTTCAACCCTGCATCCAGGCCAGTGCCTGTTCTTCCCGGGGTCTTGGGCGGGGTGGGGCCAGGTGGCATCTGTTGGGGTGCTGTGGGGCAAGGAAGGGGGATCTGCAGGCCCAGCTGGGACAGGGCCCTCACAGGCTGCACAATTCCCTACAGCGTCCACCTGCAAAGGGGCACAGCCCCCACCTGAACTTGGCAGGAACAGCAGCTGCCCGCCCCACCCCACCCCCCAAGTCACCCCAGCCACCTGTGCCTCGCCTGCTCACAGCTGGCCCCTGTGGGCTTCATCTCCACATAGCTTTCATTTTACACACCTTTGGCAGTTTCCCTTCTTAAACTTGTGCTGGGGAAGGACAGGTAACCCCAGTGAGGATTTCTGTACGTGTGCAAAATGGAACGTTAACCTGTCTTCGCATTTTCAGCCCAGAGTTCCCGCTCTCGGTCTTGTGCAGGAAAGAACATTCCGTGCAAACCCTGCGAGCGCCCTTGCTCCCGGTCGTGTTATTTTCAGTCTGGAGGTAGAGCAGCTCGCATTACCCTCGAGTTGCTTGGGGAACTGTACTCCTAGTGAGGCAGTGCTCGTCACGGGTGGAACACGGTACGGGAGCGCCACGGCCGCTCTCAGAGTCGCGCTCGCCCCTGCCTCAGCCGTGCCAGCCCCCGGGGCTGCTGGCAGACGCTGGATCGTTTCCAGCGTCTTGGGGAGCAGTGGTGCTGCAGTGCCCCCGCGCCTGGAGCCTGGCTTCCCTTCGTGAGACGCGCTTGGAGCTGCCAGGGGCAGTCCCGTCGTTGAGTTGGATGTGCCTCACGTATTCAACATTGCGGGCGACTGGCACCAGCGATGCAGAGAGACACAGCCAAAGCCTGGGCCTCCCTGGGAGGAGACTTCTCCCAGGAGAGGAATTCTCCACCTCCTTTTGCAAGTTCCACCCAAGGCCGGCCTGTTGAAAGCGAGGTGGCTCCTGCAAAACAAGGGTGTCAAAGCTTCGCCTGCTAAGTTGTTTTTCCAGATGTAAAACAGAGAAGAGAGGTGGGAAAGAGAGAAAGAGCCCCCATCCACTGGTTCACACCCCCAACTGCCCACAATGACCAGGGCTGGGGGCCAAAGCCAGGCTCCAGGAACTTAACCCAGGTCTCCCACACAAGGGGCGGGAAGCCAGCTGCTTGGGCAGCCTCCGCTGCCTCCCAACGTGCAGAGTAGCCGGGCGCCAGCACCAGGAGCTGGGCAGCTCTCTGATGTGGAGTGGGCCCATCAGTAAGCAGCTTCTTAACCACAGACCGAAGGCCTGGCCTGTAGCTTCCCTGTTGATCCATTTTGCTTTACTCTCCTGGAAGAGGTGAGACTGGGGTTGGGGGTCGTGCTTTGCCCCAGGGGGTCCGACACAGAGGTCTCCAGCACCTCTGTGGAGAAGGCTGCCGCTCCCTCTCTCCGCCGCTGAATCGCGGTGGCACCTTTGTCCACAACCAGCAGGGCAGATGCGCCTGAGCCCCTCCCTGGTTCTCAGCGAGGCCTGGGTTTTAGTCCCAGGCGTGGACACAAGGGTTTTCCTCCCCTCCCAGTGATGCTGGCGCCATTCCCAGGCTGGTGACCTTGCAGGGATCCCCTGCAGTGATGGCCAGGGAGCTGCAAGCGGGCCTGGCGGAGGCACAGCCCTGCTTGAGCAAACTTTGGCATCCTTGGTTTCAGGTTTCGGGCCTTTCCGGCAGCACCTGGTGAATCCCAGCTGGGAAGCAGTGCAGGTGAGCCCCCAGACCCAGTCCCAGGAGCTCAGGCCCGCACCAGCACACAGGCCCCGAGGCAGCTGGAGTCACCTGGGCGGGAAGAAAGCAAACCTGCGGGCCCTGGGACACAGCTTGGCCCTTAGCTGGTGGCTTGTCTGCCCTCCTGGCTCCGTGGGGAGAACAGAGGCCAGGATGACACTCGAGGGCAGGGTGGAGAGTGCCCCAAACTGGGCTCCATCGTCCTGCCCTTTCCAACTGAGTGGCCTTGGAAACTATCAACACCCCCAGTTTCCCCACTCATGACATGGGGGAGCGTGTGCTGATGGTGCGTGCCCAAGTTTGGGAAGTAGCATTGGGCAGGCGGCGTGTGGGGCGCCTGGCGTAGGCTAAGCGCTCAGGGCAGCGTTATCGCCCGCTACCAACAGCACACAGAGAAAACACATCCGGGCAGCCCACGGGGCAGGCAGAGAGGAGACCTCGTCTCCACAGAGCAGTCCCGCCTCTCCTCTTTGGAGTAATTTTCAGCTCTTAGTCCCTTGGTGTCAGCTGCATGCTCGGGAGCTGCCCGAGGCTTAGCCCCACGCGGCCATCAATCTCATGCTGCGTTGGGGTGAGCCAGACGTGGGGTCTCTGGTCCACGGAGCATCCCCATCAAGCCAAAGCTCACACCGCACACTTGCAGCAACGGCGGTGACACCGATTTGCTCACTGCTGGCACGAGACTCTCGAGCTAGAATTGGGTTTTCTCAACCAAGAAACAGCTCGCAGAACCCTGCATGCTCTGCCAAGCCTCGCCGCTGCACACAATGTACCAGAGACGCTGGCTTGGGCTTTCGGCAGCTCCCGGGTGTCTGCAGCCGCTTCTGTGAAAAATAGCACGGTTTCTGCCAAAGCCCAGATGGCCCTGAACCCCTCCCTTCCATGCTGCTGTCATGAACATGGAAAGAGCCAGATAGCCTGGGTTTACCACCCAGCCCCACCGGTGTAAGCTGTGGGATCCTAGACAAGTCATCCAACTTTCCAGTGCCTCGGTTTGCTCATCTGTAAAATGGGAATGAAATTCTGAAGCAGGAAATGAACACACGCACGCAAACCTCTGAGAGCCGGTGGGTACCTGCAGGCCTGTTGCTTCTGTTACCAGCAGGCAATTCGAGCCCTCAGGCCCTCGGCTGCGGGCAAACAGGATCGACCTTTGCCGGAGTCACAGCAAACAGAAAAATGAGAGGACGCTTGAGAGGCTCAAGACTCACCAGAGAGGCTGGGGGCAGGGCAGAAAGAGGTTGGGGCCCCCCAGGAGCGGCAGCAGAGGGCAAGACCCTGCTCTAGGAGCCTTTCCCTGCGGGTCACCTGGGCAAGCAGAAGGTCAAGGGTGGCTCTGGGGAGCACTCATGCACACACACGCACACATACACTCTTGCACACACACACGGGTACACTTACACACACACACCAAGAACTGCAGGCACACAGAGTGGGTGGTTGGTACGCACACACGGCAGGCCAGGGCGAGCTCCCTGAGAAGCAGGCTCTGCCTTTAGGCCAGACCTTGGGACAGGGACCCCTGGGACGCGAGTTCCCTGGTCTCCCACAGAATCTCAGGCAGTTTCTCTTGGGGACTGAGAAGTTGCCAAAAATTAAGATGAACTCAGTGTCAGGGTGTCCATTTCTGTCTTTTTTTGACAGGCAGAGTGGACAGTGAGAGAGAGAGACAGAGAGAAAGGTCTTCCTTTGCCGTTGGTTCACCCTCCAATGGCCGGCACGGCCGGCGCGCTGTGGCCGGCGCACCGCACTGATCCGATGGCAGGAGCCAGGAGCCAGGAGCTTCTCCTGGTCTCCCATGGGGTGCAGGACCCAAGCACTTGGGCCATCCTCCACTACACTCCCTGGCCACAGCAAAGAGCTGGCCTGGAAGAGGGGCAACCGGGACAGAATCCGGCACCCCAACCGGGACTAGAACCCGGTGTGCCAGCGCCGCAAGGCGGAGGATTAGCCTAGTGAGCCACGGCGCCGGCCCATTTCTGTCTTAACAAATTCTGGGGTCAGGCATTGGACTTAGCAGTTAAGGTACCCACATCCTACATTACACCTCGGTTTGATTCCCACCTCCGTTCTAGACTCCAGCTTCCTGCTAAGGAGCATGCTGGGAGGCAGCAGTGCTGACTCAAGTCACTGTGTCCCTGCCACCACGTGGGAGACCTGGATTGAGTTCCCAGCTGCCGGCTTCGGCTCCTGCTCTGTCCTGGCCATTTGGAGCATTTGGGGGAGCGAATCAGTAGGTGGGAAATCTTTCTCTGCCTCTTACATAAGTAAACTTTAAACATTCTGATAGAAACATGCAACATAAGTCCTAATTAACCACCACCACCAGCTCAGTGGTGTCACGCACAGTCCCGGATTTGGGCAGCAGATTCACGGCCAAGTTCATTGCACAGAACTGAAACTCGGCACCCACTGATCAACCCCCACTCCCCTCCCCCCAGGCCCTGATCACCTCCATTCCATGTTCTGCTTCTGCGAGCCTGACCACGTTAAATAGCTCACGTACGTTGCAGTCACCTAATCTTTGCTTTTTTGTGACTGGTTCATTTATCTTAGCATGCTGTCTTCCAGGTTCCTGTATATGACAGGGTTTCACCCGTTTTGAAGGCTGAATAATGTCCCATTGCACATATTTGCCATAGTTTCTTCATCAGTGTATCCACTGAGGGTCACCTGTGGCTTGCTTCCACCTCCCGGTGTTGTGAAAATGCTGCAGTGTGCACATCTCTCCCTGACATCTTGCTTTCAGCCCCCTGGAGTTGTGCTCAGAAGTGGAATTGCTGGATTCAGTGGTCATCCCATGCTTGGGGTTTTGAGGGACTGTTGCATTGTTTTTCCAAGTGACTGCACCATTTTATGTTCCTACCAACAGTGCCCACGAGTCCAGTTTCCCCACATCCTTGCCAACACCTGTATCTTCTGTTACCAGAGTGGCTGGCCACTGGGTAGGAATTGCTATGGTTTTAGTCTATAAAAATGAGGAAGACATTAACCTACGTGTCACAGCTGGACCAATTGGTGTTGGCGCTGTGCCCTGGTTTGCATGTCTGCAGATGCCTGGCTGGGCTGGGGTTGGACACCAGATCAGAGCTTGAAACACACCATAGGCAGAAGCAAGACTGTTTAGTCTCTTGGAAAGTCACTCAGATGAGTAAAATGCACAGTGTTGGGTCTAAGGGCAAATGCCCTCCATCCCGGGCCAGCTCTATGGACACCAGCGAGATGTACAGGGTCAGCTTCCCGCACCTCTGCTAGGGTAGGAGTGAAGCCAGTAGCCCCAGCTGCCCCGAGCACATCCTCAGGTGAACTGTGTCCCCCCAGGGATGCTGATCAAGTGAAGCAGGGCTCCCGAGGTGTGCTCCTGCAACAGGAACGGTGTCCTTAGCAAGGGGACCTCTGGCCCCAGAGACAGACACACACAGGGTAGAGAGGCGGGACACGAGGTGAGGACCTCCTAGACCCTGGGGAGCAGCTGGCAGGTGGCCCAGCTCTCGCTCTCCCGATTTCTTCCTTCCAGGGGCTCCTCCCTCACCCCAAGGGCTCTCCAAGCCCTTCACCTCCCCTCCCTGCACTCTGGCTGGCTCGCTCCATCTCTATCTGTGGCTTTCACCCCAAACTGCAGCTTTGGCCACCTGTCCTGCTGGTGTGTACCCCAGAACCCTCGCCATGAGCTCCGGACACACAGAGTCCAGGCAACAGCTCCCCTGGGGCACCGCAAACTCAGCAGGTCTGACCTTGACCGCATGACGTCCCTGCCCACCTCCATCTCCTCCTTCACCCACTCCGGGGCGGCTCTGACTCTTGAGTTCCTTGGGCACAGACCTCTGCTGGCTCCCCGCTGCCCAAAGGGTGAAGCCCAAACCTGGCTATGCACTCAACCCATGGACGTCTCCAGCTCCTGTTCCCATCCCCCCATGAGCAGGGCTCCCTGCTACACCACAGACCTGGGCTGCTTATCGGAATACCTGGGGGCACCCCAGGCAGTCTAGGTCAGACATGAGGCCGACAGTTCTACGTGGCCCATCACACCGAGTCCCCCCGATCGCTTCAGGCTCCCCCTGCCTCTGCAGCTTCCTGGGCTGACAGCCCCTCCCCTGCTTCCTCATCTGGCTCAGCCCCACCTGTCTGCAGGACTTGGTGAGCCTCTCTGTGAACACGCCCCTCCCGAGACCCCACCTGACAGGTGCAGCCGTGTGGCAACTGCCTCTCCAGGCAGGAGCCAAGTCCCTCTGGCTGGCTCCTTGCCACCTCATGCGCATGCTAAGGGTAGGCTCTGGGCCCAAGGAAGACCCCTGGGAGTAGCCCCCAACCACCCGAGGCAGGTTGATCTCTTTCCGCAGGAGCTCTCCAAGCTGGGCCTGGGGGGCGACACGGAGGTGGAGCTGCGGACTCTTCAGCTGCCCGTAGATTACAGGGCAGCCAGGCAGGAGGTCACCAGGATCTGGGAAGACCTTCGTCCGCAAGTGAGTGACGGCTGCCGGGGAGACTGGGGTGGTGGGGTGGTGGGGTGGGGGTGGGGGGCCCCGGGGCTGCATTTGATGGCTGAGGTGCACCCTGTCTGCGTGCCCTACCCACAGCACAAGGTTCCCACGGGTGTTGATGGTTCTGGGTCTGCTTGTGAAAGTTTAAGCAGAAACCTGGAGTAGGTCTTAAGAGAAAACTTGGTGAGAGAGGAGGAAGAGGAAAAGAAATGGGTGGGTTATTCCCGGACGGGACAGTTCCTCCCCAGTGGAGGGGCTCTGGGTTAGGCCTTACCCAAGCCTGCGCAGGGCAGGTCGGTGGTGAGGTGGGACATGGGTGAGGCCTCCTAGGCCCAGGAGAGCAGCTGGCAGTGTGGTCCACACCAGGAGGGCCCACTTCACCGCACCCAGCCTATTTTATCTGAGTCTGATTACTGTATTAAAACACTCCCCTCCCACCAAAAGCAAACCCCAAAAAGCAAAACAACGACCAACTAATGACATGAAAACAAACTGCCAAGCCGGTAAGAGAATGCCCCAAATGTTTGCATAAAATAGCAGCTCTTTTTGAAAATGGAGAAACACCTCAGGTGAGATTTAACAGGCTTCCTTCATGAAAGCGGCCTACAAAAGACGGCGCCGAGACACCAAGCTTCTGTGGGGCTCTACGGTGCCAGCCCAGCCCCAGCCCCTGGAAAGGAGTCTACCTACCGTGCCCTGTGGGAGCTTTTGGAATAGGACAGCATTTAAACGCAAATGCACTGTGGGCTTCTATTCCGTTAAAGCCTCCCCACTGCCTCATATTCCTGCCACCTTAATTAGGGGACAAGACTGGGAGACCGCGGTTTCCTTGAGGGGTTAGGGACTTCACGTGTTTTGCACCTCGAGGCAGGGCTCATCCACGGCTTGGGCCTTTTACATACGTGGTGACCACAGCGGGCCTCGGTTTGCTGTGCTCTCCCTGCTGTCATGCGTGTCCACACAGCTCGTCGTGCACGTGGGCATGGATGCCTCCACCAAGGTGATCATTCTGGAACAGTGCGGCAAGAATCGAGGCTACCGGGATGCCGACATCCGGGGCTTCCGGCCTGAGGGTGGCGTGTGCGTAGCTGGCGGCCCAGAAGTGATTGCGTCTGTGGTCAGCATGAGGGCGGTGTGCAGGCGCCTGGCCGTGGAGGATGTCGAGATGGCCTTTTCCAGAGATGCGGGCAGGTACGCTGTGAGGGTGCTGGGGCACATAGCGGGTAGGGAGGAAGAAATGAGCTCCACTGGCCGGCCCCTCCCCCCAAGAGGGCATCTTCCCACTCTAGCCGGCCAGATGGTCACCAGGTGCCACCCCACAGCTCTGGCCGCCAGCCAGGCTTCCCCCAGCACAAGCTTCTCCGTGCATTGTCAGCGAAGGGGGGGAGGCCCTGGCGTTTTGTGGGTGCTTGCTTTGGTTCTGCAGGAGAGACCAGAGTTGTGAGTTCACTGTGCTGATCCAGCCTCAGATAAAGATTAATTTCCCTTTGTGTCTTTGGACACTGACATCCAGTAGGCACTTTATTCCGTCTGCAAAGAGTGAGTGAACACACAGCTCAGGGAGGACCTAAGTGATACAGGGACTCACTAGGTCAAGGTTTCCGGACTAGTGGATCGCAAGTCTCCCAGTCTTGGCCACCTCCAGGTCACGAGCCCAGAGCTGAAGAGGAGGTCTCTCTCGGGCTCATTCCTGGCCCCAGGCTCTGTCGGAGGCACAAGAACACAACTTGGGTCTCCCCGGGGGCCGGCCTCGCTCTTCAGGCTGGGTGGATATCGCAGAGCGGGGAGGTGACCTGGCATTCCGTGTGGTTGCAGATACGTCTGTGACTACACCTACTACCTGTCTCTGCATCTCGGGAGCGGGCACGCGGCGCTCGTCCACGTGCCTCCGCGATCGCGGGGGCTCCCGGCCAGCCTGCTGGCAAAGGCCTTGCAAGTTATCATCCAGGCCCTGCTGGAGGAGAGTGCAAAGGCCCGGGCCCAAAGCCTGGTTGGCGGGAAACCAGCCCACGTGGATGCCAGCCAGAGAGAACCGGCAGAGAAAATGAAGAGCTTCAGTCCCGGGGAGAGTTCACCTGTGCACCGAGAGGCTTCTTAAAAACTGTCCGTAAAACAGTTTGCGTGGAGGGAAAGAATTCTGAGTTGGCAACAAAATCAAAGCGTCTTTTATTGTCGGCAGGAAGATGAACGCCCGGAGAGTGTTCATGAGGACTCACGAGCTTCAGCTTCGGCTTTTGTGACGGTGAAGCGAAACCCTAGCAACGCTTCTTCCAGGCGGGTGTGCGGTGGTCCGTGTGCCCCTGCCAGCGGCTGGGACCCTAGACCTGTGCTGTGGAAGCCGCCTGCTCCAGGTGGCCCACCCTTGGCCTCCAGGTCTGTGGTCCAGGTCTGGCGAGCAGCTTTGGAGTCGCTGTGTCTCGACTGCCTGCTTCCTCTGTTACGTAAGCCATCTTTAAGTGTACAGCCCAGTGAGATTGTGCGTTGTTGGGCAACTATCGCCACCACCCACCTCTAGAACTTCCTTATGACCCCAAACTGAGCCTCTGCATCCATTAAACAGCCACGAGCTATGCCTATGTTCCCGGGCGGTGGGAATCACCGTGTAGTAAGTAGACTCCCACAGCATCTGTCCTCTGTGTCTGTCCTGTTTCACTTAGCAAAATGTTCTCAAGGTCCATCCCATGTTGCGGTGTAGGACAGCACTTCACTTTTAAAGGCTGTATAATATTCCACCCAATGTATCCGGTTTTGTTTACCCACTCATCTATAAACGGACACATTGGGTTGCTTCCCTTCCACCTGCTGGCTCTTGCCAAAACTGCTGCTTGGACGCTCGCATGCAAGTCTCAGTTCAAGTCTGCTTTCGGCTCTTTGGTGTCTGCATAACCAGAGGCGCATTCCTGGGCCCACTTCCTAGTCTCTGTCCACGTTTCTGAGGCACTCCACAGGGGCCGTGCCGTGTTATATCCGTACCAGCACTGTTTGGTCAGTTTAGTAGCTGGGCTCAGTTTTTCTCTGTGGTCAGTACTAATCCTCATTTTTATTTTATTTAGTTTTTAATGATTTACTTATTTGAAAGACAGTTACAAAGAGAGGGAAAGACAGAGGTCTTCCATCTGCTGGTTCACTCTCCAAATGACGGCCATGGCTGAGGCTGGGCCAGGCCAAGGCCAAGGCCAGAAGCTTTTCCTTGGCCTCCCATGAAGGTGGCAAGGGCCCAAGCACTTGGACCACCTTCCACTGCTTCCCCAGTTGCATTAGCAGGGAGCTGGACCTGCCGTGCCACATGCCAGTCCTGTCCATAATATTTTTTATTTATTTATTTTTTAAAGATTAATTGATTTCTTTGAACAGCCGGAGCTGGGCTGATATCAAACCAGGAACCAGGAGCTTCCTTTGGGTCTCCTATGTGCGTGCAGGGGCCCAGTCACCTGGCCATCTTCCGCTGCTTAGCCAGGCACATTAGCAGGGAGCTGGATGGAAGTGGAGCAGCTGGAACTTGAACCGGTGCCCGTATGGGATGCTGGTGCAGCAGCACAGCCTCCCCACCCCTAAATTTTAGAAGCCAGAATCTGCTTTCTGGCTCCTCTTGTTCCGTCTCGGGTCAAGGGGCTCGTGGCCAAGTTGTATTTGTGCAGCATTTTCTGGGGGAGTACCCCCACTGCAACCCCCCTGGCGATGCTGTTTTCATGGGGGAGTGACAGCGTTAACTCTGGCAAGTGTCTCCTGTTGCAGGCTCACAGAGGCCGCTTTGCGCTTCATTACATTAAAAGCCCTCCTAGCTGTGATTGGGCCTCCACTTTATATTAAAAGACCTCCTAGCTGTGATTGGGCCTCTGCTTTATATTAAAAGCCCTCCTAGCTGTGATTGGGCCTCCGCTTTATATTAAAAGCCCTCCTAGCTGTGATTGGGCCTCCGCTTTATATTAAAAGACCTCCTAGCTGTGATTGGGCCTCCGCTTTATATTAAAAGCCCTCCTAGCTGTGATTGGGCCTCCGCTTTACATTAAAAGCCCTCCTAGCTGTGATTGGGCCTCCACTTTACATTAAAAGACCTTCTAGCTGTGATTTGGCCTCCGCTTTATATTAAAAGCCCTCCTAGCTGTGATTGGGCCTCTGCTCGTGGAAGTCTTTGCAACTTAATGACAAAGGATGGGGGACCTCTGCATACCTGAGCATCTGGGAGACACATGACGGGACTTCCTTAGCAAACCAGCCCGGATCACCTGACACAGACCAGTGTCTCAGCATCGCCCTGGGGTGCGTCGGGGCCCACAGGAGGGCGGCTGCGTGGTTGTGAATGAGCTTCCGGGGCAAACAGCTGCAGCTCAGAGCCCTCAGCTCCCCTGCTTCCAGCTCCTGTCCCACAACACCGGCAAGCAGCCACCTGCTCCGGGCTGGTGCCGATCGCCGGCGCCACACCCCCAGCCGTCAACATTTAGGCCGCTGGGAGGTCCAGGGCTGCCCCTCTGGGTCCCCCAAGGCTCTCCAGGCAGCAGCCAGAGGCCCACGCCCACCCTGGCCCCTGGGCATGGGCCGTGTCGGCACAGTGGACAGGCTGCAGCGAGAGACGGAGCGCTGGGTTGGTGCTCTCGAGGCTGGGGGTCTGCGTGGGTTTTCGCTCCTCTGTACCACAGGATAAGAGCCCTCCCTGGAAGGCTGGTTGTATGCAGAGAGAGAACGGAAGTGAGTCCGTCAGTGATGTCGGAGCACTAGGAAAGCCACACACCTGGGGGCAGACTCACGCCTGGACCTGCGGGGACACGCCCCCCACCCCGGGTGTTCCTCTGAAGGTGCCGCACCCAGTGGAGAGGCCCCCACACTTCCCAAGACCTGGCCCCTTCATCCTGAGAAACAGCCCCCTCCTGCACCAAGGATAGGGCACACGTGGGCCAGCGCCCTGTGGGACACAGCAGCTCAGAAATGCCACCTCTAGTCACCCAGGACGGTCCCGAGTGCCAGGTGCTCGGTGACAATGCCAAGCAAAAACCTTGGGGCCACGGCAAGCTCCTGGCTTCTGGCTCAGTCCCCAGACGCCACCACAGGCCTGGAGCCTGCACTCCAGCCAGGCCTCCCAGGCACCCAGGGAGGGACCCAGACACCCAGCTGTCACTGCTGCCTTGTGGGGTGTGCACTGGCGAGGAAGTCAGGAGCAGGGGCTGAGCTGGAAATCCAGCCCGTGTGCTCTTAGTGGGACATGAGCGTCCCCACCCGTCTCAGCTGCTGGGCCAAAAGCTCCAGGGTCCGAGCACTTGCAAGATTGACCAGGTCCCAAGTACCCAGGACCTTTGCTTTACCCCTACTGTCTACACCTTGACCCTTCACTCTGTGGCCAACGGCCCAGATTCTGTACAGGGCTGTGATCCCGCATGGCCCAAATCCAAGCAGATGCTGGGTCCGATTGGGGTGTCCTCCTCCTACCAACTCCCTTCCCCCGACGCCCGCAAAGGGAATGCCTGTAGGTGGCAGGGTCCCCACAGCACGCGGCGATGCTTCCAGCACGCCTAATCGCGGTGCGGCTGCCCAGGCGTCCTCAGCTGTGAGGGACCCCCAGGATGGGGAGCGTGGAAGCGCTCTGCCCCCGGGTGACAGAGATCAAGCCCGCCTTGGGCCTGCTGGTCAGTGGAAGAAACGGGGAAAGTCTGCACACGGGTCCCAGACGGAGCGTGCAGCTGTCTGCGCCGCCTTCGCTCCCCAAGCTGATTTCCCCATCTCTGCATGGGGACAGGGCTTGGCTTCAGGAATCAGGTGTGCGAGCGAGCGAGAGGGGCAGAGGCCGGGGGTAAGGGGCATTTCCAGGAAGGGGGAACAAAACCACAAAACCAGAGGCAGGAAATGCATACAGAATTTTTATTTAACTTAAACAATGTAGTATTTTAACTACTAGAAAAAAGCAGAGTAAGAGAAACTAAAGTTGCCTTAGCTTTAGCCATTCAAAATAGACAAAAGTTTTTTTTGAGTTTTTTTTTTTTTTTTCCGTAAAGAATCCAGAGTATATGGCAGTAACAGGAATAAATTCTTAACAATGGAGTATACAAAAACAGGTTGGAAATTTTTTTTTCATCTACTGATTTTTTTTATATAAAGAGAATTTTTAAAGGAGTAATTCATACACAGAAAGTCTTGTAACAAATTGGCCATGTTGTTACCTCTTTTTAAATTTTTTTTAAACTTTTTTTAAAAAAAACTTTTTTAAACAAGAAAACTCAGAAAATGCATTATTTGTGATGCATCCATTCCATCGTGCCTTCTGGTTTGATTTTTTTTTAGCCCAGAGGTAGACAACTCTGGCAAACCTCTCCCCTCCAGCTCACTGGCTTATGACAGCAGACAGGTGATCGTACCGGGCACCTGTTCCACCTGGGGACATTTCTGTGCAATGCCAAACAGCCACACGGAAAGATAAAAACAAAACAAACAAACAAAAAAAAAATGGTCTCTGGACCTATCTCCTGGGTAGTGCAAAAAAATCCAGGTATTTCCGACCACGGGGAATACTGTGGAGTTGTGAGGACACGGCTAATAATCCACCGGGAACCAGAGGCAATGGAGTCGAACGTTTCTGTAGTGTGTCGTAGTCTGGATCGAAAGGAACTGATTCTGTATTGGTGTTACCTTCGGTGTTCTGCCTTAAGTAAAAATCAACAGCGCTCTTCCTTGTGACAACAAAGCGTTCATCACGGTCTGAGGCACGTGTGCCCAGGGTGACCGTCCTTCCCGCGACCTGTGCGTGTGCGTGAGATCATTGTGAAAGCCACCGGCCGTGCAGCTGGTCAGAGCGACCACACCACAGGCTGCACGGTGCTGTGCACGGCTGGGCGGCGACACCTCTACTGTCCCATGGCCAATGAGGCTCTTTCCATCAGTGAAAGCCGCAACACTCCAAAGGGGAATGGCCAGGAAAAGACCACTAAGATCCTGAAGATATGGAACTACTTTTCAAATCACCATCCTTCCTTTGTTATCAACTAGGGCACAGAGCACGTGGGGGAGGGGGCCGGAGCCGCAGCTCAGGTCAGGGACAGAATCTTTTTGGCGTATTATAAAGCTAGCTAGCCAACAGGTGTCCTAAAAAAAAATGGATCACGAACACATATTTTTGCACACACGCAGGAAAAAAAGGTGTCTTTAAATTACTTTCGGCAATTATAAACTACGAACGCTTTATAAAATTATTCTATGTTCTTACAAAAATGCAATGAAACATTGAATTAGTTCTTGTAAACCGGATCTTCGTCAACTGACTACCCGTAATCTACTGGACTTGAGAGCCCTATGGAGAACGCTAACGAGTGACTAACTGAGACGATGTTTGCCAGAAAGATGGGGACGCACACATTGGACATACAGGTGAGTGACCATCACGTTCTTGCCGAAACCAAGTAAAACAAAACTCTAAGGTCACGCCCCAGAACTGACACCCCAACTGACAGGTGTGATGGAACGCAAGGTCGTGAACGATGTTGGGTTTCGGGGCACAGCTTATTTGTTGAAACCAAGTACCCCTGGGATGGCGGTGACGCCTCCTTGTGGTCTGCCAGCCTTACATCCGGACAGCACCCCGACTTCTTCCCATCCTGTGCGCCTCTGCTCCAAACCCCGCCCTTCACATGGTGATCGCCTCTCGGGCATTTCCCACTGCCCAGTCACGAATCATGCCAGCATCAAGGGGAGCTTGTTTCTGTAAATGACCGAATAGTCAGGCCCAAAGTCAGTCCTCGGTCCTGGCCTGTCCACGGTCTGTTCCCTCAGCATCCCTGGAAACAGAGGTTCAACTACGCAGCGTCCTCTCTTGGTGTTCTTGCTGGTGCTGCCATCTGGCGAGAAAATGAGGCTCTGATCACTGGTTCTTGGGGAGTGGATCTCTGGTCTGTGTCTCCCAGTGCCGCTTAGCCCAGCAAATGAAAAGGCAGCCGACAAACACAAGGTGGTGGCAAGAGAAGAACTGGGACTGCTGGAACAGGCGGAGGCACCCCATGGAGTGCCACTGTCTACTGCAGGGTGCCGGGTTTGGGGAGGGGTTGCCTTCCATGCTGTCTGCCCACCCTGGGAGGATCTTGGACCCATCTGAGCTCCGAGCTCTGGGTGAACTTGCCACAAGGCAGGGCTGCTCCCAAAGAGGCGTCAGTGGAACAAACTGGCCTAGAATTCCGCATCTTGCATGGTTTGTCACTCTGAGACCTCAACCAGAACCCGGCCTGGCACATCACGCATTCTGCCGCTTGGCAGTTTTGTGGTAGCCACTGTTCCCACCACTGTTCCCAGTCACAGGAGAGGCCGTGTGGGCTGTGCACGTGGTCTTTCCTCTTCCCTCTTCCACGAAGGAATCTGAGTCCCGCCGGGCATCAGGACTTCCTGGCTGTCTGGGCCCCGCGCATCTGAGCACATGGGCTCCCACCACACGGCGGGCACCAGAGCATCCCGGCAAGACGGTCTGGGCGGCTTGGGGCACCTGGGCCCCACACATCTGAGCACACGGGCTCCTACCGCATGACGGGCACCAGGGCATCCCGGCAAGGTGGTCTGGGGCGGCCTGGGGCATCCCAGGCCGCACACATCTGAGCACACGGGCTCCTGCAGCACGGTGGGCACTGGGACGTCCCAGCAAGGCGGTCTGGGGCAGCCTGGGCCCCACACATCTGAACACACGGGCTCCCGCCGCGTGGCGGGCACTGGGACGTCTCAGTGGTCTGGGGCAGTCTGGGCACGCACAGTTCAAGTTCCACATCTGAGCACACGGGCTCCGGCCGCATGGCGGGCACCTGGACATCCTGGAAAGGCGGTCTGGGGCGGCCAGGGCACGCACATCTGAGCACACGGGCTCCCGCTGCACGGCGGGCACCTGGACATCCTGGAAAGGCGGTCTGGGGCGGCCAGGGCACGCACATCTGAGCACACGGGCTCCTGCCGCATGGCGGGCACCGGGACTTCCTGGAAAGGCGGTCTGGGGCGGCCAGGGCACGCACATCTGAGCACACGGGCTCCTGCCGCATGGCGGGCACCGGGACTTCCTGGAAAGGCGGTCTGGGGCGGCCAGGGCACGCACATCTGAGCACACGGGCTCCTGCCGCATGGCGGGCACCGGGACTTCCTGGAAAGGCGGTCTAGGGCGGCCAGGGCACGCACATCTGAGCACACGGGCTCCCGCCGCATGGCGGGCACCGGGACTTCCTGGAAAGGCGGTCTGGGGCAGCCTGGGCCTTGCACAGAGTTCCACATTCGAGCACACAGCTCCCACCGCCTCGGAGAAGCGCCTCACCTCTCCCGCCTCGTCCACCAGCTGCCTCAGAGGTTCCCAGTGCTTCCAGCAGGGGGAGCTGCTGTCAGGAGGAGGTTGTGTGGAGGATGCCACAACTCAGCGTGGTCAGAAACTCTGGAGCGCACAAAGGAGAAACAGCAAGGAGAGGCGGGGAAACCAGCCCAGCGGATACATGGTGCCTGGGCATAGTCGAGGCGGGCGGGTTGGTCCAGGAACATGACTGTGCCGTCACACGAGCGAAATTCTCTCTCACGGAAGTGTTTCTGCAGCGCTCGCTACGACGGGTGCGACACTGTTAGTGTTTTCTTTCTACTTAAAAGGAAAGCCACCTACATGAGACGAAAACGAGAGAACAGCGACAACTCGGACAGTTGAAACAAAACCCTTATCACCAGTGGAATGAGCTGCAGAGATCCAGTTGTGGACACCGGTGGGTCTGTGCGGGAGGGAGGAGAGGCCACTGTTGCAAGGGTCACCTACGGCGTGGCCCAAGAAAACCCTGATCCGAGGACACTCCCTGACGGCCGGAGAGAGGAGGGGCCAGGCTCACTGCAGTGCTGGGGCCGCAGAGGGAGCTGCCCACCCTCGGGGAGGAGCCCCTGCCAGGTGTCCCAGCAAAGGCCACCAGCGCCTGTAGCAGCAGCTGCTGGAAGCGGGCGCACCGTCCAACCGTGAGCAGCAGGACGAGGTGGGCTGGGCGCTGGCCACTGGCCTTTCCAGCCTCCAGGCCTGGTGGGTCTTTGTTGACCCCGGGGGTGAGGAGGGGGAAGAGGGGGAAGTGGAGAGAGCAGTGTGGGGACGGGACTGGGCTCCCGCCGCCGCACTTTCTCTGTCACACTGGCCCACGGGGGCCGGCACCGCTGTGGAGGGGGCCCCGCTCTCCCACGGCCAGCGCGGCTGCCCCTCTGAGGTGAATGAGGCTGTGGTGCAGCCCGGCGCAGGGGAGCCTGCAGGAGCAGCAGCCGGGAGCCCACCCACGCTGGCGCCCATGCGGGAGACAGCTGCAGAGACTAGGGGCCACCCTGGGCACTCGGCACTAGGCCATCAGGGACGGCCCGGTGTGGGGGTGTCCTTCTTGGCCTCACTGGACTGGGAGGAGGGAAATCCTGACGCCTCGCCGCCTCTGAGGAAATCAAGTTAGGAAAAAAAAATAAAAGGAGCGAAAGCAACAGAAGAGGAGATGCGGCGGAAGAGGAGAGCTGGGTTAGCGCTGCTTTGACCCTGGACGCAGCCTGGCCCCTGCCGGCACTGCCCCGGCGTGTGGCCGCGGCAGGGGTGAGGTCACCGGTAGCAGTGGCCGGCTGCCGGGTGCTGAGAACGTGAGATGTATTCCTCTCTATATACACATATAAAAAATAAGAGTGAGGTAGATAAACGCTTGCAAAGAAACAAAAACACCAGGACCTGTCCCGTCCCGTGCACCCCTTCCTCAGTGTCCAGAACAGGGCTTCCTGCCAGCAAAGGGGGCTGCCATCACAACGAACGCCAGCAAGCGCCTGCACGGAACACTCCCGAATGGACCTCTCTTTTCTAAGCGAAACCCTGCGGGACACAGGCTGCCGAGGCCGAGGTGAGACTGGGACTCTGAGGAGTGACAGCACCGCCGGGCTTCCTGGTGTTCAAGCTCCGGTCCCAGCCAAGTGGCATCTCTTCGCTTTGCTCTTACTCAGAATTGAGCATCGCCACCCCACAGCCAACTCTCACGCTGTCATCACTTGGGTGGGAAGGGCTCAAAACCAAACCGATCAAGACCCCCACGGCCGCGGAGGCAGCACTGGCCAGCACCCGGGCTCTGGTCCCCTGGGAGCCAGCAAGGGCTCCCGGGCCACCGAGCGAGCGTCCACGCTGCCCTGCCCTGAAGCTGTGGCTGCCAGTCATGGCCGTGGGCTGCTTGTTCAGAGGCTGAGGGGCGGGGTGGGGTCCCCTGGGGCACTCTGTTTGTAGAGACAGTAGGTGGGTCTGGTGGGGGCTGGGCTATGCTCTGCTGCACCCTTGGACTCAGCAGCTATTTGACATGGGATGGAAGGATTAATCAGCCATTTAAAAAAAACAAAAACAAAAAACCAGCAATCCAAATGCCTAGTGTCTGCAGTAGAAACTGCTGTTGTACCCAAGAATTAAAAAAAAAATAAACACGCGTGTGTCACAACCAAAGCAAACGGGAGGGGACAGACGGCGCGGCTTCTCGGCTGCGGTGGACGTGCGGGAGGTTGACCTCAGTCTGTGCATCGTCCCCGCTATAACAGACCCCAGCGCCGCGCCGAGGTGGGAAGGGGGCGGCGGCCAGCGGGGACCCCGGCCCACGCCTTCGTCCCACCACCGTCTCACCAGCCTCGGCCCGCACAGGCGGCTGGGGGCGGGGAGGGCCATTTAGAGAAAGGCATCAAACAGCTCCTGGCGCAACATGTTCTCTAAGACTCAGTTACTGGGAGAAGAGGAAGAGTCACGCACTCTAGCACAAAGCAGGAGTTTCTTGGAGTGAGCAGAAAGGGAGGAAAGCAGAGACCTGAAGATTTCATAGATTAAATCCACAAAGAGAAGGAACGAAAAAAATAGCAGCTTTTTTTTTTTCTGTACAGACGTATAGATGAATATCTGAACCGTAAAAAAGTTATAAAAGTGACATTGAAGATGATGTGTATGCAAATGCTTCACGGTCTAACATAGAACTGTAAGACCCATGAGAAAGTCCCAGTAACAGCCAAGGTGGACAGAGCTGAGAAGGCCTGAGTCCATCCACTGTGTGTCCTGCTGTGGCGCTCAACCCCCTGCGCGGGGAGGGCAGGGCGAGGCCTGGGGCGTGCAGGACACCGGCACGGGGGCCGCCCGTCTTCCGGGCGCAGTCAGGGGCCGCGCTCACCCGTGCCTCTGGATGGGGGTGAGGGGAGCTAGCACAGGGGTCGGCAGGGAGAACAGGTAGGGTTTTGGCAAAATTTGGCAGCGTCGAAATGCCGGCCCTTTTAGGATCGCGGATGTCCCTAGGAAGGTCAGAGATGCAGTTACCAACTCCTGTCTCAGCGTGTTTGACAATGACCTGCGGTGTCCAGCAGGTGCACCCGGGACACCCTGGGGCTCCAGGGGCCGCCATGACCTCACTCTAGCCACAAGGGCTTCCCAGCCAGGCTCTTCCATCATGAAGCAGAAAGAGAGAGGAAGGAGCGAGAGAGAGGGGAGAGAGAGGGGGGAGAGGGAGGGAGAGGGGGAGAGGGAGGGAGAGGGGGAGAGGGGGAGAGAGAGAGAGAGAGAGGAGACAGAGAGGCGACAGAGGGAAGCATGAGGCTCGGTTCTCGAGTGTTCTGTTGCTATGACGTGTTGTCGCTAAGTTTCTTAAAGGCCCGTGTCAGTTAAGGGTTTGGGTGGGGGAAATAAAAAAAAAGCTGGTTGCATATAGAAAAAAGGAACATCCCAAGCGTGTTTACTGCGGAGAAGGCGACTCCCGGGCGCAGCAACGGCAGGTCTGAAGATCCACTGAGGTACGGAGGAGGCCTGCGGATCGGAGGGGCTGCTAGAACTTTCTCTCCCCCACCCTGCTGCAGCCCAGCGCGCACGTTCCCGTCCCCGCCGGCATCAGCAGGTCGAAGACTGCGGCAGCGGCAGGGCCCGCTCGTCTGTGCGGCCCCCATTCATGTGCGCGTAGGGTCGCCTCTCGTCAAAGCTGGCTCGCAGGACCATCGCCCCTGCACTCGGGCCGTTCTCGGCCTTGTGCCTGTCGGGCTGCAGGGCGGCGACGGCGGCAGCGGCGTTCGCGGAGGGGTCCAGGGGCACGCTCTCCATGTTCTCGGGCTCCAGGTCGAGCTCCTCGGCCTCGGGCGGCTTGTTCTCCTCGCTGTAGTAGAAGGAGACCTCGCGGAAGCCGGGCTCCATCTCGTCTCTGACACTGCCGATGATCTCCAGGAAGGAAGGCCGCATCTTGGGGTTGTATTGCCAACACATGCGCATCAGCTCAAACCTGCGTGAGACACACAGAGCGCGGGCCCACCGTGAGGCGGCCTCTCCAGTCCCCACCTTCTCACCACCCCATGCACTCCCCTTACCCGGCTCCCAGGACCCACCACGGGGCAAAGCCAAAGCCCAAGCTCTGGTTCCCCGAGAGGCACAGATCTGGGTCCAACAGGCCGCCCTCACCACAGGTGGAGAACCTGCAGCTTCCAGTCTGAAGCCTCCCTTAACCACTGGCTCTAGGATCATACGGCTGGAAGCCTCCAGTTTCTCACTCAGAAGGCTCAGGAACTTCCCCAACCCTCTCCCTCTCCCCGAGTGCCCCCCTCCTGGGGCCAGGGCAACCCGGCAGAGGACCCGAGGAGGGAGGTAGTGAGAGGCAGGGCAGGGCTGCCAGACAAAAGGAACACGCATCTTGGGTGGGCCGTCTCCACCCAGCGCCTGCCGGCCACAAGCCCCTCGGCGGCAGGGCCCAGCCCACGGTCTCCGTGATGCTGAAGACCTTAATCAGGACCCCAACAAGCCGGCCAGAGGGCACCTGGGCAGTAGAGGGCGTGAGGTCTGTGCCAAGCCTCAGTCTCATCAGCAGAGCCCTGATGGCACTGGGACGGCAAGCCCTGCGAAGCCCTCGGGGTCTCTGGAAGCCGCGCGGGGGAGAAGAGGGCAGGAAAGCTACCATTGGTGCAGCCCGCTGCCCTGGCGAGCCCAGGGCTTGGGCGGTGTCCAGTGTGCAGGGGAAAGGGCAATGACCATTTGGGCTACAGGAAGCTCGATGAGACAGGGCTGGGAGGCCGTGGTGTCGAGGGGGGTTGGCCAGCAGTTCTCGCTCACCTGAGTGATTGTGGAACCTGTTCTCATGAGAAAACTCGACCCTTCTTGTTTTGCCACTAAAAATGGCCCCACGGGACTCCCCACACCAGGACGCTCAAGGCAGCCCAAACGAGTCTGGAGCCATCTGGCTGGCTGCCCGCTTGACCACAGGCCTCCTGCTCACAGGCAGCCCAGGGGCTTCCGAGAGGGTCCTGAAAGAACCGGGGAAGTCGGCCTGGGAGGAGACAGGCTCTCCTGCCAGCCTGGCTGGACGGCAGGTGGACTGGACACCTGGGTGAGGGTGGCAATGGGCGGGATCCACCTAGAACTCCTTATGTTAAAGATCCAGGGCCAGCACACCGCAGCCAGGCCACTCGCAGCCCCCTGCCTGCTTTTCTAGGCCAGGCGTCACCGACGCAGTCAATACCCATTTGTTTACAACTTGTCTGAGGCTCTGCGAGCCCCAGCACCGGCCGTGTACGTAGAACACGGAGCCGTGTACACGGAGCGTTTCACCTGCGAGCCCGCAATGCTACTTTTGCACAGAAAGCCTGACGCTCCCTGTTCTGGAAGAAGAACTAGACTGGGAAGACGGATGGGTTTCCCTCTCCAGCTCCAAAGCCACATGAGGCTGTGGCACTCGCCGCACCGTCCCACAGCCAAGAGCTGGCAAAAATGCGGGTGGGGGGGGCTGCAGTCAGCAAAGTCCTGCCCCCAACCTGAGATGAAGCCGCAACCCCGGGCAACACCTCGACTCTTGCCTCGTGACAGCGAGCCAAGGGGCTGGCCCACCCGCGTCTGGGTTCCTGGCTATGGACACTGCGAGACAAACAGGCAGTGCCGTCACAGCCACGGGCGCCCCCGCCCCCCTCTGTGGCTGCTGGACATGCATGTCCGACATGTCTGACTGCTGTCTGAGAGCCCTCCCGCTGCTCCAGGCAGGGTGGGCAGATCTTTCCCAAACCTGGCCTGAAAAATATATCTGGAGAACTCCTGAGCCAGTCTTTGAGACGCGAGGGGGATCCTACTTCGTGTCTCCCCACCGGGATGGAGAAGCTTCTTGGAGCCCTGCCTTAATGTCACGCCACAGTTGAGTCTGCTGCTCTGCTCCCGTCCTCCCGCCAGCCAGGCCACCTCCCCATGAGCACAGAGCAAGACCCCGCTGGCCAGCAGAGCCACCTCCCCACCCGAGGCACTCCCCAGGAGCACTGGGCGGTGAGGCCCGCGAGCCACCATGAACACTCTTCCAGGCACCGTCCGGTCGTCAGTGAAAAGCTGCAGGTGCTTTTCCAAAAGAAAGCGAGTGAGCAGAGAGAGTCGCCAGTGCCCAGAGCTGTGTGTGGCCCGGGGCCACCCGCAGGAGGTCAGCTCCAGGTGCACACTGCTCACTGTGGGGAAGGCACCAGACAGCAGGCTCCTTAGGGGTTCGGGACTTTGGTGAACACCCGAGAGGCCTGGAGTGGGGGCCCCAGTGTGGTGGCTGCTGTCGGAACTACCTGAGATCTACCAGTGCTCAGAGAAGCCCTGCGCACGAGGCTGTGTGCACACGCCTGAGCTGTGTGTATACGCCTGCGCCACTGCCTCCAGCCTGCACGCGTGCACGGGCTCCTGACCGACGTACAGGGACCAAGTGCTGTGTTGCCTTTTTGGAAACCTTGCAGAGAGAGCATGAGGGAGGATGTGGAGTATTTCACAGACATGTTTGTTCCGAGAAGCCACAGCACAGTGGCTCATGAGCACCCTGGGATCACGGATGACGGGGTGGAGTTAAGGGACCTGCCAACCCCAGCTCCTCCGGGGAGGATAAAGCCCTTTCAAGCCGCTCCCGCCCATCCCAGTGCCCTGGGGACCACAGCGTGCGGCTCCCAGGATCGTCACCCCGTGACCCCGCGGAGCGGCTGACATACAGCATGTCGGGGCAGTTGTCCGGCTTGTCCAGAAGGCCGCCCTCCATGACGAAGCGCAGGACCTGCTCGTTGGAGAATCCCTGGTACGGCTGCTCTGCCAGCGTGGCGATCTCCCAGAGGACGACTCCGAAGGACCTGCGGGGAGACACGCGATGTCAGGAGCCGGGGCAGGGCGCTGGGCAGGACCTCGGCCCCTCCCCACCACCGAGACACTGTCCCCGCCGTGGCAGCAATGCTGTGGGCCAGGCCCCGGGCCAAGCATGGGGCGTCCGTCTCTCCCTGCACTGGGGGCCGCAGTGTGTGGTTAGGAAGCTGCAGCACAGAGTTCAGCGCCCTGCCCAGCCACGGCCCTGGCAGGACAGTGTCTCCCAAACTCGCTTTAGCCCAGGAGTGTTCGAGTGCAGACCCCCAGTCCGCAGCCGGGACCCTCCCCAGGAGCTTCACGAGGGGCCAGGACAGTCAGGCCCTCGAAGAGGCTCCTCAGTGATTCTTACAATCAGACAGTTCCAGAAACTTCTACCAAGTGATTCCCAGTGGGAACCCCTCCCAGGGTGCTATTTGGCTGGGCTGGGGTGGAGGCGGGGACTGGGAATGCTTCAAAGTCCTACTGGGGTTTTGCAGCCCAGTTCCCCCGACAGATCTCAGGTGCTGCTGGCCAGGGAGGGACTGGGCTGGGGGCAGGGGTGGGGCACTGCCAGTGAAGACCCCAAAAGTGCAGGGATTGCCGAGGGGGAGGGGAGGCTGAGGAAGGAGCCCATCGGGCAGAGGAGCAGGTTAGTCAGCCTCAGGAAGTCAGACTACTGCAGAAACAAGCAAGCAGGCGCTCCACACACACAGACATCCAGACCGGTAACGCTCAGAAAGGCAGGGCTGGGACTTGCGAAAATACAGGTGCCTTCTCCGGGACACATCCGCACCCTGCCCCAAGCCTCCCAGGCCCCGCTGCCCTCACCCTCAGCTCACGCCACAGCTGGGGAGCTCATCCGGCCTCACGGAAAAAGCCGGGCCAGGCTGCCCCCTACTCGGCTCTGGGAGGCTGCCCCTGCCGCGAGCCGGGCCCCGGGCTCACTGACTGCTTCAGCTACCGCCCGGGGACCAAGGGCTTACACACCGACACTAGCCGCGGGGGTGAGGACCAGCTCCACTGCGGAGAACTGACCGGCCCTAGGTCCTGCCTCTCCGCCACGGATCAAGAAATCATCTTCTGAGCATGGCAGACCCAGAACAGCCAAAGACCCAGGCCAGGCTGTGGCTTTCAAAGCCCTGGGCTGAGGGGAGGGTGGGCTCCCTGAGACCTGCAGGGCGGAAGCCCCGCCCCCTCAGCCCTCGCTGACCTCTCTGGTCCCACACACTTGCCCTGGCCATGCCACTGGCTTCCAGGCAGCCAGTTCTCGCTGGATGGCTCCCACCTAGTCTTTGGAGCCCTTGGCTGCACCACACCAAGCTCCTGGTTTTTACTTGGCTGATCACAAACTCAACATGTCTCAAGCTCTGCCTCCCGCCCCGTCCCCCTCCCAGCCTCCCTACAGCTGACGGCCAGACCCACCCGAGCAGTCCACCTGCTGTCACCGTGGGTCCCCTCGGGGTCCCGCCACCATAGCTCATAGCTGCCCAAACGTCTCTCCCTGTGTGCCCTTCCCATGGGCTCCTCCGTGTGGATGGTCCCGCTTGGCTGGTCAACCAGCCCCCTCCTCTCTGGCCCGTGTCACCCACGAGGTGGTCACACCCTCCAGGCAGCGGCTTGAGCACAGCTCTGGGCCCCTCTCCTGTGCTGAAACCCCCAGGGTCACCACAGAGCCCGCAGGCCAAGTCCCGGGTCCCTGGCACAGCAGCCAACGATGAGCCGGCTCACTCCTCATCCCGCCTCCTTCCACAGGTCCCACTGTTGCCAACCCCAGCTTCCTGCCGCACCCCACTGCCAGGAACCCCGCCACACTGCAGGGGTCCCCCACGACCTCACTGCCTGGGAAGGCTCCTGCGCACCCCCCCACCAGAGCCACTTCCTCTTCCACGCAAGGCTTCTCCCTCAAGGACAAGGACTGTGTCGCTCACCATCCCTGCCCCTTCCACGCACTGAGGTCCTCAGGACCACACAGGAGCAGCAGACCCAGCTCCTCACGGATGCTTGCTGAGGTGACCTAGGGCGGACTTCTCCTCAGAGACTCTCCTAGGATGCCAGTGTCACCTGCCATTGAGGGCCCCAAGTCACCTGTCACCAAGTGCTGCCTGTCACCTGCCATCAAGAGCCTCCTATGTCACCTATCACCAATGGTCACCTGTGTCACCTGTCAGAGGGCCCCGAGTCACCAAGGACCACTTGTCACCTGTCATCAAGGACCGCCTGTGTCACCATTTCACTGAGGGACACCAGTGACACCTGCCATCAAGAGCCTCCTGTGTCACCTGTCACCAAGGACTGCCTGTGTCATCTGCCATCGAGGGCTGCCTGGTGCCGGCACGTGTGACTGCCCCTCACACGTCCATGCAGCAGTGGACTCCCATCGTCTCTCTGCTCCAAGGCCCGTGGGCGGGGTCTTCACTGCCCAACGTCTTGGGAGCCACCTGGGCACTGCAGTGAAGGCGGCAGGGAGCAGACAGCGCTGGAGGGCCCTCCCCTCGGCTGGGGAGCAAAGCCCGAAGCCCGTGACTGCCCAGGGCCCCCGCCTGCCCGAGGCAGCCCCTCTGTGTGTCTTGAAGCAGGCATTTCCCAGGGCTGCTGCTGTCACGCCTGCCTGGACTATTAAGCCGCATATTCTGTGGACAATCTTCAAACGCGAAACACGTGCCTCCGTGTGAAATACGAAATCTTTGCTTTCCCCTAACAGACCATGAGCTGGGTCTCCCCTCAACCCAATGCTGGCTGTGGTCACTCTCGGGGTCACCCCGTGCCAGGAGGTGAGCGAGTCTACGTCCCACCCCCGGCAAACTGCAACCTATGAGAGTGTCCCACGCCCCACTGATGAGGCTCTGCCACCACAGAAGCAGGAAGCCAGTGCAAAGCTCCCTAGGAGGTCAGGAGAGGAGGACTGTCCATCTATGGAGAGATCTGGACGCTCGGACAGGAGCACAACCTCACGCCGCGGGCGAGACTCTCCGTTCTTGGCCTGCTTTCTTCCATGACCCAAATGAGCCACTGGAAAGGGACGGGTGAGTTGCAGGAGCAGCAGCCACGGTCCCCAAAGGCCTGTGAACCCAGTATGAGGACAGCAGGAACCTGGGGACACACTTCCCAGGGTGACGCCAGGCCCGTCTGATCAATAGCAGAGCGGGTGTGCGACCATGACAGAGGCACTGCTGAGGGTCAGCAAGAGGCCTAAACCACAGCACAGCATGCGAGAGACCTGCTGGGGACAGGCCCGCCTGCGGAACCAGGCCAGGCAGACGCTCGGGTGTGAACGCGTGGTCCCGGGGGCGGCGGGGCGGGCAGCGGGGCAGACGCTCGGCCATCAGCTGCCCAGGATGCCGCAGGCAGGGCACAGGACCAGCCCTGAGCCCCACAGAGCCCAGGGTCCCTCTACAAAGCCAAACAAATCCTTGGTCTGCTTTTCTAGATTTTAACCGGTCAGGAAGGACCCCGGTGTGCTGGCCACAACCTGAAATGATTCTTGTTCTGTCGAGAGAGACAGCGTCAGCTTACAGCCAGGGCAGCCGAGAAGCCGTTCAGACCCCACGTGCTGGCCCTCCCCGCCGGTGTTCTCTCAGGTGGGGTCACAAGCACCGTCAACATCTGGACACGGCGTGCAGCAAATGCCAGATGCCCACTCTTTGCCACAGACACATCTTCTCTCTGGCGCATAATGGCTGTGCAGCCAAGTGGGAAGAAATGGGCACCGGACACTGGATGTGTGCCCGCGTTGCTGCCTGCAGCAGGAGCCGCTGGCGGGAGTCTGGAGGAAGCAGCTGGGGAGACATCAGCATTGCAGGCTTTCTCTGCCGACCTCGCCTCGGTTCCCCCGGTTGTCTGTTTATCACATTGGGAGCCGACGTCTAAGCATTCAGAGGCATGAAGCCTGCAATGAGCCCAGGCGTGCCCTCGGCCCACCAGCTCCGTCTCGGAAGATGGTGCACACCGCTTTGATCTGATGGGAAAGGCAGCAGCATCCCAGACAAGCCGGCTGCTGACCGGAGCTCACGCTTGGGCTGCGGCAGCGGCCTCGCTTTGCCAGGTCATCTCCCAAATGTTATTTCCAATTTGCACCTGTCTTCAAAATGGGACCGAAGGCCCCTGAGCTGTGAAAGGGTCATGAGGTTTAAAAAAAAAATGTCAGTCACTACAGAAATAGTTCCTGCGTGTGGCCATCCAGACAGCTGGAGCCAACAAACACCATCTCTCTCTCACCACAGTGCCGGGACGGGATCTCCCGCGGGGAAAGCCGAGACGCTCGCTGACGCTCTGGGAGGCAGACGCGCCAGGGCCTGGCGTGCCAGCAGCCTCAGTTGAACTTCAGAACCTGCCCACCTCTACAGCGTTGTCACGGAACCACAACAAACACTGCTGCCGGCAGCCTCTGCAGCCCCCGGCCAACCAGCCTCCACCGCGAGGCACTTCTGTTATCCAGGGGGACCCTTTGCTTTCCATAACCTGCCCTGGGTCAGCAACGAAGCAGGGCCCACGGCCAGAGCAGAGGACCCACGGGAAAACATGAAACAAAAACCAGCCAAGACTCGAAACTCTGGGTCCAAACAAGGTGCCATCTGCACTCCGAAGGTTAGCGTGAGAGAGACACACACACTTGCACACACACCCAGGTCTGTCTGTTCACTGGGAGAGAGCGAGCGAGCGAGAGCGAGCAGGCAGGGAGGGGAGACGCAGACAGGTGCATGCGTGGCTCCTCCGGGCACCCCTGGGACCCACTGGAGGCTGAAGCACGTGTCGGCCCCACACACGCCCACGGCTCACAGGATCACCTCGGGGCTGTTGCACTGAGCTAGACACAGCTAACCACGGACAGAGACCAGGGGATCATGGAAGCCTCAGCGAGGCGGTGGGGCGGGTGTGCCGGGGCAGGGGGGCCCCACCGGCCTGACGCTGGAGGTCCACATACCAGACGTCAGAGTGGGTGGTGAAGACTCCATCTTTGAGGGACTCGGGGGACATCCAGCGCACGGGCAGCAAGCCTTTCCCCCCTTTCCGGTAGTAGTCCGTCTCGTAGATGTCCCGCGTCATTCCGAAATCTGGAAGGGAAAGAGACGGCGCCGGGTCACGCCGCAGCAAAGGCGCAGCGGCGGCGCCCGCCACCCCCGAGCGTTCCGCCTGAGACAGGGGCACCTCCCGCGCGGGGACGCCGCAAGTGAGCATCTGTGATTGTTCACAAGCACTAAGGGGTGAGCAGCTCCAAACCAGCCCACGCCACGATGTCTCAGCACCCGACACCGCCTTATAACCCGACTCCTTCGGGAAACGAATCCCCTTATTGCATTTCACGTGGGACACCACTTAAAACTGCGGCATTCCCAGGTTTACCACGACCAAAGGTCATCTGGGCACGGTCTTCAGACCTGCTGGAACCCACAGGAGGACACGGACTGTGCGACGTGCGGTCGCCGGGCCCCGGCACGAGAGCCGAGGAGGCAGGGGCGCGCAGGGTAACCGTCCCTGGTCCCTACACGCTGCTGTCCTGAAGCTTTTCCTCAGCCCGTCCTCCAACCCACTCCCTTCCAGGAACTGCTGCAAGATGCCACGAGATTCGGCTGCCGGAGGGCTGGCTTGATGGTCCTGACGGTCCCCTCAATCAGTCTTTCCTACAGGGACTCCTCTGCTTTTGCTTCCCAGGGCAGAGTGCGGCTCTACTTCCCAGCAACGTCATGCCGCCTCTAATTCACGCCACAGGAAGTAAGGCCGCGAGCAGACGCAGACAGCACAGCTCCCCGGACGCTAACCCGCATCAGCGACTTGTTAGGTGCCAAAGGCCGTCACGCTGTGCCCGGGGAAAATGCTGGTCGTGTCTGTGACCCGTGAGACCCAGCGCCCAGGAAAAGCCTTTGTGAACACTCGAGGTGAACAAAACGAAGCCCCGACCCTTATCTCTGAGTTAATCCAGTGACAGGTGCCAATGAGGGAATTGGCTTTACTGACACACAATGGAAAAGAGATCCCAGGAAAAATTAAAAAAAAAAAAAAATTTCTTCCTAAACCCAAAGAAAAATAATTAAACTCTAGAAAGAAAAACCCCAGTAACAAAGAAAACATTGTTGTAACCACGGTGTACCATGAAACAGCAAACACAACCTTCGCGGAGTTGGATTCTCAAGGGCAGGCGGCAGCCTGGGTGAATTCTGATCACACCAGCAACAGGATGGGAAGCGGGTGACGAGGGCAGGAGCTGAGGTTTCCTGGGGGCCCGTGCGAGCCCTTCTCACACCCTCCCGGGGTCTGTTACCCTGTTACCCCATTTCAGAGGTGGAGAAAATAGGGCTCACATGACTGGAGCACCTGCCCCAGGTCTCTCACCTAGCAGCGGCAGGACTGGAAGCAAAGCCTAGGCCTGCCTGGGCCTCAGCTCTCCAGTCTCCGAGTCCCCAGGGAAGAGTGAAGGGTGGGGATAGGGGGTTAGGAGGGGAGGGGAAGCAGGTGGGGGCCGCAGAGAGAGCCCAGCCAGCCACGGGAGTGGCTCTTCCCTGAGAACCCTGGGGCAGGACTGCCTCCTGGGCTTGCTCTGCCTCTCAGGGCCACCTGGCTCAGGGGGGATTCCAGGGACATCCAACACAAGGCTGCTCAAAGGGTCCAACAGTGGTCAGGAGCTGGGAGGCTGACCGGCCCGGGGTGCGAGGGGCACTCGGGGACTGCCATGCTGCCGCTGCCCTGCTCAGTGCTGGGCTTCATCAGGGCCCCTTGCTTCTTAGAAAAAAGTGTGGACGCTCAGGGGACAGGGAGAAAAATGCTCCTTAGAGGCCAGGGACGACTGGCAGTCAAGTCAAGAACACGTGTGGACATCGTCTTGATTGTTTCTGTCCCCACACTGAGACTTGTGCCATCAAAAATGCCTCCAATGCCAGGAGAGGTGACCTCAGGGGCCACAGCCTGGGCTCATCCTTGGCCACCACCTGGACGGCAGTGCCCACTTGCTACCTGGATTGCAGCCAGCCTGGCCGGATCTGGGACTGACTGGCAACGGGACGATCGCACACAGCGTTCCCAGGAACCAGGTCCTGCATTCCAGCATGCGGTGGGGAGCCTGCCCAGGGGTGCGCCGATGACGACAGGGCTCTCAGGTCTGGAAAGCCAAGGGCAGGACGCACCTCCGATCTTGACTGTGAAATCCTCGGCCACCATGCAGTTCCGGGCAGCAAGGTCTCTGTGCACGAACTTGTTGGCGTTGAGGTATGCCATGCCATCTGCAATCTCCCCGGCCATTTGGATCATCTTACTCAGACTCGGAGGGGCTGGGGCCCGATTCTGTTGGAGATTGAGAAACATCTCACGTGAGAATTTAGGGATTTTTTCGTTTTCCACCTCAAGTTCTTTCAGGGTTTGCGAGTCCATGTCTGTTCGATCTGAGCTCCAGGGGTCATCCTGCTAAGAGTCAGGACTTGCAGGGAAGGAGTGTGTCGTTAGAGACCATGGCATCTGCCCTGTGGCAAAGCCACCTGCTCACTCCCTGGCCACGTCACACACAGCCAAGAGGGAAAACACCAATTCACACCACTTGGGACCAGCAAAAATGACTTACAGCAGAAGAACAATTTTTCACACTAAGGGTTCCTGCTCACTCTCATTCTTATTCGTCCCCACGTCCCTTTTATTTCAGTAATCAGAGAGCAGGTAGAAGGAGAGCATGGAGCAGGGTGAACCCAAAAGGACGCTGTGCGTTTCAGTTCCCAGGTGAGCACTGATGGCGATTACTTTACGGTTTCCTTTCCCCTCTGCTTTCTTCTAAAGTACATACGTGCCAAGGCTAGGTTTTGGACACACAATGCAGCAATCCTTGGGTTGCTTTTTGCCATGGGTGCTGCTAAGGCTGGTCTTGACGTGACACAGTGACAAGCAATGTGCATAAGTATCTCCTCTCTGGGGGGGAGGGGAGGGAGGGGGAACCACACTTGCTTTGGAATAGAAAAGAATCACCCTGGGGCCTGGCGCAGCGGGTAAAGCCACCACGCCATCCCATATGGGCGCCGGTTCGAGTCCCGGCAGCTCCACTTCCAATCCAGCTCCCTGCTAATGCACCTGGGAAGGCAGCGGAAGATGGCCCAGGTCCTTGGGCCCCTGCACCCTCGTGGGAGACCCAGAAGAAGCTCCTGGCTGTTGGCTTCGGCCTGGCCCAGCCCTGGCTGTTGCGGCCATCCGAGGAGCGAACCGGCGGATGAAGTTCTGTCTCTGTCTCTGTCTTTCTCTCTGTAATTCAGCCTTTCAAATAAATAAATATATAAGTCTTAAACACACACACACACACACACAAGCCCAAGTTTCTCCATCATTAAAAAAAAAAAGTACAAAACCCAATCATTACAACAGCACAGTTTGGATGCTAGCTCTTTGCTTTCCCTGCGTCTTACTGCGGCACACTCCACACCTCCCATGGACCGTGGGATAGAGCAAGCCTTGGCTGTGGGATCAGACTCTCGGGATCCTGCCTGGGATCTTCCATAAGAGATCAGAGAGGAGTTAATCCTGGGAGGATTACCTGGGACCCCGCCCAGCAAAATCCCAACAGTGCCTGGTGCAGGGTCAATGCCCATGGATGCTGGCTCTTGCCCAGTGAGGCCACCAGGACTGCCTGCGGTGACCTGAAAGCCCCGCCACTCAGTCATCTGGGGCGTGGATTCTGCCACTGGGAGTTCGGGCAAAGTCACCACTTTCTTTTATGGGCGAGCCTTCTGTAGTCATGCTTTTTCTTCCATAGGACCTCACATTTCCTTTTAGCCTTTTCTGAGCTTTAACTATGCCTGGGAACAGTGGAGATGGTGCGGGTAAGGCGCAAAGTTTATGCCTGTAGCACTCTAAGTGCTGGAGTATGAAGTACAGGTGATTGCTTGGAGGTGGTCATTCCTAACTACTGTGAAGACCACAACCAATAAAAGGAAGCGCGTTTCGAGCTTGGAGAGAAAGGGCTGGCGTCCTGTCGGCTCCCGGTGCGCCGCCGCCTGCTGTTCCATCACTCATCTGAGACAGCAGGAAGCACTCGTTTGGTTAGGGCTCTTGAAGACGAGCACCCACACGCATCTACACCCTGCCAGGTGGAGAGAGAGAGCTCAACAGGCTCAGGTGTGACAGAACCACAGGACAGGCAGCCACGGTTTCCTGCTTCTCAACCTGGCAAATCTGAGGGTGAATTTCAGCTCTGCACCCTGTCACCCTGCTCGGCCCGCTTCCTTTACAAACGAGGAGCCGAGGCCCAGGCACCAGTGCGGGCGCCCTGGGGAGGGCAGCCAGCCAGCTGCAAAGCGGTAAGACCACGAGGCCCCCAGTCTTTCTGCACCGGAAACAGGGGAGCAAAGGAGCAAGGGCCTCGTGCCTCCCAGGGGCTCCTCCAGGGATGCTGGTAAGAAACATTCTGCGGGGCCAGCACTGTGGCGCAGTGGGCTAAGCCTGCACCTGTGGTGCCGGCATCCCATACGGACACCGGTTTGAGTCCCGGCTGGTCCTGTTCCGATCCAACTCTCTGCTGATGGCCTGGGAAAGCAGTGGAAGATAGCCCAAGTGCTTGGGCTCCTGCACCTGTCTGGGAGACCCAGTGGAAGCTCCTGGCTTTGGATTGGCCTGGCTCTGGCCATTGTGGCCATTTGGGGAGTGAACCAGTAGATGGAAGATCTTTCTGTCTGTCCCTCTGTAGTTCTACCTCTCAAATAAAAAAATTGAAAAATCTAAAAAAAACCCAAAAAACAAAAAAATAAAACATTCTGTCACTCCTCCAGTTGCCTATTTGATGGAGCTTGTGCCTCCTTCAAGCTGGCTTGTGCGTTAGAGTGAGCCAGGAAAAGGTACAACACCCGGGAGTGCGGGGGACCAGTCCCCAGTGGCCCAGTGCTGGAAACCACCCCCCCGGAGCCTCCTCGGGCTTGCACATAACCCCAAACCCCGTGTGCAGAGAATACATGGAGTCATCTGTGAACAGGCGCTTAGCACTAAATACTGGAAGGACCAGCCTCGGAAGAGGTGAGTACGTTGCAGGTTAGAAGAAAACAGCAGAAAGGAAACAGGATGGCAACAGAGGTTCCAAAGGACAGAGAGAGAACAGGAAGTCACCGCTTCTAGCAGTCTAAGCACACACACGGCTTACGCCACGAGGAGCAAAGCCAGGGCCAGGGCAGGGACCTTCAGACCCACGGAGGCAGTGCGACAGAAAGGCGGGTGCTGCTGGGGCATTTCTCAGCGGCTGTCTACCAGCTTTCCTTAGGATTAGTGATGGACAAGTCGTGCCTCCACATGCTCACGGGCTGGCTTGTGGGTTCATGCCACAGACAGGGTGACAGCACAGTGACTCAGGAGAAACCGCTCAGGGCTCAGCAGGGTGAACAGCTGAGGCGCACACCCCCCAGGGAGATTTTCATGCAACTGAGCAGAGATGGTGCGGCCGAGGGGGCTTATCATCGAAAAGCACAAGCAAGAGGATGAAGCGTGGACAGTGGATGCGGGGCTGGGGCGCTGGAGCTTTCTGGTCTCCAAGGTACAGGCCGCTGGGAGTGCAGGGGAAAGGAGGCAGAGTGAGTGTGTGAGACGGGGGCCAACTTCTCAGACGCCTAACAGGCACCTCTGACATGCCAGGCCTTGGAGACAGAGCCGAACACAGAGGCCGGGGAGGGGACAAGCTCCGAGAGCCACACCAGTAAACGCATGCGAGGGGCAGGGCAAAGGGCGTTTCCACGTTAGTGGAGGAGGCGGTCGCTGCCGTGCTCACGCAGGCAAGTCCCCCTCGCCTGGATCGAGTCTACCCCTAGCTGGAAACGCTATCCGTAAAGGCCCCTGCCGTCACTCACGGCCCACCCGACGGTCTCCTGCCAGGCCGAGGGGTTCCGAGGTACAGAACATGCGAGGGTTAACATGCAAAGCTGCAAAACATCAGCACTGACCTCCACTTCCGGTCGCAGGGACCTGAGATAGCTCTTGAGGTCCCCTCGCGTCATCAGCTCCATGATGACCAGGGTGGGCTGGCCCTGGGACACCACCCCCAGCAACCGCACCTGGGAGGAGGGAGAGAGGGGATCAGTGGGGGAGGGCGCCGCGCCGCCCGCGCCTGTCTGCAGCTGGCTGTGTGCCGTGGGGGCCTTGTGGCCTGGAGCAGAGGGTCAGGGCCTCCTCCAGCTGGCCTCTGCCTCCCATGCAGAACCTCGCCGCACACAGGGTCCCGAGACGCACAGTGGGGCTGTGGGGGCAACATCCAGAAGCTGAGGCCGCAGGTGTAGGCGCTGCCGGGGGCGTGTTCCGGGGTGGGCCCGCGGTGGCGTTCTGGGGGCTCTCCCTTACCACGTGGTGACAATTGAACTCCTTCATCACAGACGCCTCGTTGAGAAACTCGATCCTCTCCCGCATGCTGGCGGCCTCGTTCACCGTCTTGATGGCCACCCTGGTTTCCGGCTCATCCTTTACCACGCCCTTGGCGACGCCTTCGTAGACCATCCCGAAGGAGCCCTGGCCAAGCTCGCGGCTCATGGTGATCTTCTCCCGCGCCACCTCCCACTCGTCAGGGACGTATACTGCAGGACAAGCCGGGAGGGAACCAGGCCTGTAAGCCAGCCTGAGGCCGGATGCAGCTTTGGGGGGCTGTGGGGGAGGTGGCGGCGGGACTTCTTTCCCAGGAATAACAGACGACCGCGGGGGTGTGGACAGGATTTGGCTCCAAAGTCTCATGGTGACAGCTGATGTGATTAGTCCAGGGTTGGGATGGGGTGACTTGATTTAGTCATGTGTATGGGGCGGGGCTAGTGGGAGATGTCACTGCCACTGTCACTGGGGACTGGTCCTAGAAATGGGGTTCCCGTGAGCGAGCCGTGTTTCCTGTCTCTGCTTCCTGGCTCGGCCTGTGACCGCTCCTCTGCCACCTTCTGCCCGATCTACACTGCTGAACCTCTGACACCAGGAGCCAGAGCACACGCGCTAGGCCGCCTCGGGTACTGTGTTACACGCATGAAAAGCTATCTGACATGGGTGTCTTTTAGTGATGTCTTGTCACTTACAGAAACACCAGTTTTGGAAAAAAGCCAATTAATCCTAGGAGAGGGAGACACGGAGCCAAGTGTCCAAAGAGAATTCCCAGGAGTTTTTACTCTGGATCAGGAAAGAGATCCGAGGGATGCGAGGGTAACTGCGGCGCACCGGAGGCCCTACTTCCTGGGGGAATCTAGAAGAGGTGCTCAGTCCCCAGCACAGACTCTGGGCCTGGTGGCTGACTCTACGTGTGAGCGCCCCGAGGACAGTCTACCCAGGTGACTCAGAAAGTCTGGGTTGCAGCATGCCAGCCGAGAAGAGACAGAAGAACACGAGAAAGGGCAATGCCCACCGAGCACGACCCAGCCAGGCCTTCCTAGGCACCCAACTAAAGGGCCCCCAGGCGCGATCACCAAAGGGACAGGGAGTGGCGGCCCGAGCACAAGCCGCAGGACCTTCGGCACTGACAGGCGCAGTCAAGATAAAAATGGCTGAGCGGCAGCAGGCGGCCAGGGACAACCCGAGGACGGATCCCGGGCTGAGGGCACTCGCTGGGCTGTCTGCACAGAGGTGGTGCATCCTGACAGCTACGTGTGAGCAAGGCAGAATCTCCCACAATGCCATAAGCTGATCGCCGTGCTGGCCACACTGATCTCCAAAGCCCATTTCCCCCGGGGGCATTCGGGACAGTCCCAGAATTCTGGACATACTCACTCGATGCCTGACAGATGGATCAAAATCTGCTGGTGCAGACAGACCCGAGGCCAAAGGTTCCTCAAAATAACACAGACCCCTTTCCTAACCAGCAACACTCCCCAGAGCCCCGGTGCCCCGGGCTGGGGTCCTTACCGTCGGCTGCACTGAAGTACTCCGGGTTCACAGAGGCGTACAGCACTCCGTTCCCCAGTCTGCTGTTACTTCTGTCAAAACAGACAGCATTCAGGTTAAAGGAAACCCCGCCTCCACCCACGTCTGTGTGTACGCTCCTCTCTGCTACACCCGTCTCTGCCCTGTTCCGCGAAGCATGGTGGGAGAGGGAGGGAAGAGGCCTTCCCTGGCCAGGGGCAGCTCTCGTCTACACCCCCGTCGGGCCTGGGGGCTTCTCCAGAGAGGAGCTTTCCAGGAAACGTTAGAGTGATGGGCGGGGCTCTGTGTCTCCTGCAGCCAATGTGAATGGGGTCACAGGCGGGGAGACGCGCATGGCTAGCACTTCTGGGTGGTTGTGCTACAGGGCTGGAAACGCCAGGGCTGCCGACCCCCAGGCAGGCTGCAACCGTCAGCCCCGTCTGCCCCGGCGTCCGCTCACCTCTTCCTGTGGAAGACGTACAGCACGATCAGCAGCCCTCCCACGATGAGCAGGATGGCGACCGGCAGCGCGATGATCAGGTGCATGAAGCTCTCGTAGGTGGCTGCGGCAGGGCAGGACCACAGGTCACGGGCTGCCCGGGCTCGTTTTCACCGCGCCCACCCGGACACAAAGACCCCTGCAAACTCCCACTCCCCCATCGCACACAAGGCACCCCCGAGGGCAAGCGCTAACAGAATGAACTCTATAAACCGAATGATCTGGGAAACCATTAAGTGCAGACTGAAATAGCCACTCTTTTTTCCCCTTAAAGCACAGTGTATCCCGATGCCATAGTTCAGACGATGGAGTGAAGGGAAAAAACCTTTGCTGGCAGTCTAATGCTCTCTGGAAACACACACGGTACTTGAGCAAGTTCGTGGAAAATGGAATTAGAAGGGTTTTTCTTTTGGTGCAAAACAGTTGAAATCCATGCCATTTTTTAAAATGATCAATATTTTCCAGGAACATTCTGAAGAACCCACGAATGCAATAGATTTCACAAATGTTTACGCCAAAATAAACATCTTTGAATTCCATTTTCCATGCTATATCTGAAGTACTCTTGTACATTTGCTAAAATAAAATGAAGTACTTCTCAAATATACAATGCTCAAGGCGTACGGACCGTTATGCGTCTTAAAGTCCCACAGACAATTTAAAAGACACACACACACACACACACAGGATGGCACCTCTTGCCAACTTGCTCTGAATTTCCCACAAACAATTGCGCCTGGTCACCACTTGTCCTCAGCACCAGCAATTGCATGACGGATGCCAGACTGGGCATCTGGCACGCGGATACACACCCCTGAAGATGCTGCCAGGTGCGCGGACTCAGCCAGTCCACCGGCGGCGTGAGCAGCAGCAGAACAGACGCACACAGCACAGGACGCGGGAGGAAGGAGAGGAGAGGAGCACCCTCCCTAAGGGGAAGCCCCTCCAGTCTGGGTCCTCCCCCTGCTGCTGAGAAGTCAGGGCCGACTCACGAGGGTCTTGACCAAGCTAAGCAATTTCAAGCCAGCAAAAGCTTTCAAAGCCAGCACGGAACTGCTGGCCAGACCTGCCGGGGAGGTGGCCGTGCCTGGGGGCAGACAGGAGGTCTGGCGGCAGGGAGGAGGCGCTGCCCTGGTCTGGGAGCTGGGGAGGGGTGGGGGTAATGCCAGGTCCCCGGGCTTGTCCTGTATTAGCTCTCTAGACCCTGAGCTGACTTGGTGCCGCGGTGTGAACATCCCCCAGAGACTCACACTGAAGTTTAGGCCCGAGGTGAGGTATTCAGAGGTGGGACCAGGCGGGATCTCACAGGTGACGAGGCTGCGCCCTCGAATGCACCAGTCCACTCATGCATCAAGGGGTGCTCTCGAGATCCGCCTGCTGGAAAAGCCGCCTGGCCTCTTGTCTTGTGCGTGCTATCCTTCCACGGACACTCTGCAGAGTCCCCGGCACCAGAGGCGGCCACCAGCCCCCGATGAGCCTTTTCCCCATCAGCTACCAGTGTGTGGTGTTCGGCGATGGGCTTCCTGGCTTTCCCAGGTCACACGGGAAGCTTCCTGGCTTTCCCAGGTCACACGGGAAGCTTCCTGGCTTTCCCAGGTCACACGGGAAGCTTTCTGCACCCACAGCTCATCCTACTCCACAATGCGAGCACCCAGGAGGCTCTGAGTGGGCAATATGGCAGTGAAGGAGGGGCTGAGTTTGACACACACAGAGCAGAAGCCACGAGACACGGGTTGGGATGGAGAGCAGAGGGAGCGAGAGGGAGGAGGAGGCCTGCCAGGGAGGGCTGGCTTGGGCGATGAGTGGCTCAGGGGGCCGCTGCCTAAGCCAAGGAATCCAGAGTGGAACAAGTGCTGAGTGCAGTGGCTGCGGTCCTGGTTTGGAGCACAAGGAGGCCCAAGCAGAGATGCCTCCGTGGAACTGGGCTAGGAACCCACTGGGGACCCATCACAGCAGCTGTGAGCCACCCCTCAAAGACTACCGCCACTAGAAACTAGTCATTCTCTCTACAGACTGTTACAGCTATTGTAAGGGGTGGGTGTTGGCCTGGAGGTTAACACGACAGTTAGGGTGCTGCCTGGGCGGGACTCCCAGCTCTGCTCGCAAGTCCAGCTTCCTGCTAATGTGTACCAGGAGGCAGCAAGTGGGGCTCTGGTGGTCGGGCCCCCGCCTCCCACATGGGAGACCAAGACTCAGCACTCAGCTCCCAGCTCCCGGGCTTGCCTCCTGGCCAGGGTGGTCGTGGGCATTTGGGGAGTGAACCAGCAGGTGGGTGTTCTGTCTCTCTGCCTCTCCCATTACAAAAAGAATGATATTTTTTACAAAATATTTCTCAAAATGAACACCAGTTCCTGTACTTCTTAATTGCTGAAAATACAATGATCACAGCCAAAGCGGGAGGGCTTGGCAGGTTTTCTCTCGTTCCCCTGAGGGCCACTCCCCGTATCTCCATCACTTCCGCCCCCGGTCAGGCTGCAGTGTGTGCAAGGCCCACACTTCAGCAGGGACATGAGGAACTGGAACACGCCCAGAGGAACAAAATGATCAAGTGGCGAGAAAATCCGCCCGTGAGATCGAGTTGTAAGAAAAGGCCAGGCGACCGGAGATTATTTAGTCTGCACAAGTGTGGTCTGAAGGGTAACCCGGTAGTATTCAGGCACACAAGGCGACCCCAGAGGAGTGGTCCCCAGAGAGCTTCCGACCCCCATCTCCTCTGAGGATTCAACGAGAGGAAACCAGACTCCGCTGCAGCCTGAGTCTCGACTGGCATCAGGGAAAACCTCCCCCCGCTCAGCAGGCAGCGGCTTCAATTTCCTTGTGGTCTGTGCCAACTTCTGCCGGGAAAATTCCATCCAAGGGACACCCGGGCTTGCCACTGCCATCCTGGCATTTGTGGGGTTAAAGTGGGGTGGCCAACCCAGACGGGGGCACGACAGCTCTCAAGACAAGCCAAGGCCACTGAGCTCAGCAGACAAGGCCGTCTTTCCAGGGACCACAGCGCGAGCCCGGACCCCCGAAGCAAGGCTCTGCTGCTGGGGAGAGACGGAGCCAGGGAGACAGAGGAGAAAGGCAGGGAGCCACGATCCTGCAGACGGTCTGGGGGCCATGTGCAGGCTGCAGGCCCAGGAAAGGCGGCACAACTACATAAACGGACAGGTCTCTGCCCAAGCCCTGTCTGCCTTGAGGACCTGCAGGCAGGCACACTGCCAGAGACAAAAAATGTTGGCTTGGGGTCTCCAGTTCTGTCGGGCCCTACCCTCTCGCCATCACCTTCCAAGTCGCTGAGACACCGTGCACATCTTTGGGTGTCTGGTGCTGATGAGGTAGACTGCTGGAGTCCTTGTTTTGTACTGAATTGAACCCACAATGAGAATTGAATGTATTTGTGCTATACAATATGCTATTCTGAAATACGTGCACATCATGGACTAATTTGATTGTGCTAATTAACGTATGCATTAACTCATATAATGATCATTTTGTGCTAAGAACACCTGAAATCTACTCTTAGCAATTTTCAAGGATACATTTCTCAATGGAGTCACCACGTTCTACAATAGCTGTTCTTAACCTATCCCTACTGTCCCACTGAAACTGTTAGCCATCTCCCCAAATCCCCACTCCCCAGCCCCTGCAAACACCCTTCTCTCTCCGTCTATAAGTTTCCGAGTGAGACCGTGTGGTGTCTGTCCTCTGTGCCTGGTTGATTTCACTGAGTCACATCATCCTCCAGGCCACGCACGCACGCTGTCGGAGGGACAGGATTTCCCTCTGTTAAGGCAGACGAGTGTTCCGCTGTGAATCTACACACTTCTCCAGCCCCCAGTCCGCGCTACAGGACGCCGACGCCGACGGCACTTCCTGGCTACTGGGGCACCGGCGGCGACTGACCCTCAAGTGCAGCTACCTCTCTGACACACTGCATTCAATTCTTCTAGGGAAGTAGCCAGGCGTGGCACTGCCGGACCCGCTGAGAACTTGTTCTATTCAGAGCAGGAGAAATGCAGAGAGCAGGGAGGACCCGGGCTCTGGACACTAAAGCACTAGCACTGAGCAGGGCTGGGCTGATCTCTGCGGTGCAGAGCAATCAGGAACGGTGTGAGCCATTCGAGAACCATATGAAGGTGACACTGTATAAAGCAAGCGGGTGTCTAACGAAAGCAAAAACACTGGGAACGGGATATGGGAATAATTTCACCAAAAGGCTACATTCTCTTGGCCAAGAGAATTTAGGTCCATGTCGTGCTTGGCAGTTGTCTAGAACTCAGCTTCATTGTGTGAAATCACCAGGTAAAACAGCCTCCTTAGCACCCTGTTGTGTCACTGAGTGAGCATCCATTTACATCACCCAGTTTCCGCACCAAACGGTGAGTGCTGCGTGCTTGCAAAGCATGCTGGTGCTCTAAGAACGCATCCACATACCAGGGGGCAGAGGGTCTCAGCCAGGGATGCTCCCTGGAGAGTTCTGCCCTGGAGCAGGCCAGACTGGATGATCCCGCAGGATTCCGAGTCCTGAATCATTGGCTAACCGGCTACACCGCGTGCCAGGCAGCACGTGGAACAGGCAACGTGGGGCTTTGCACCCTGGCTTGGAACACAGGCAGCCGGGAAGCACAGGTTGCTCTTCCACTCTCCAGTGGCTATGCCCCTGCAATGGCCTCCAACCCGCCCCCCGCCTGTTCCACAAGGCCCCACAGCTCAGCATCTGCCGCCCCTGGAGCTCCCAGCCACGGTGCTGCCTTCCCGGCACGACCTTCTGCCAGCCTGACGATTCAGTTCTCACAGAAAACCAGATCCCCGCAGGGACCCGGGCGTCCCAAATCCCGGCTCCATCCAATTCTGGTGTAAACACTCTACTCCCTTACCTTTGGCTGGGACATAGAAGAACACAGGCTCCGTCCACGACCCGTTCCCGGAGAGCGACGTAGCCTGAATCCGGGCTGTATAGTTCCCCGGGTTTAGCCGGTTGAGCTTGGCTCCTCCATACTTTCGGTACTGCTGTCTGGACACACATTCCCTCTGGTCCTGGGGGAAATAAAACACACAGTCCGTTTCCCACAAGCCCAGGAGGAATCTGGGACCTGCCAGCTACATCTACCACACTGGTGGCCCCAACTGCCCGATCTCTTCTCCCCCAGCACCTAAAAACGATCCAGAGTATCTTAGGAGGTCCTCAAGCAACATGGAGCATAACCAGAACGTTCCAAAACGAACAAGGAGGATTCTGTTATTAAGACTGAGCTAGTCCAGGTGGGAAACATTTGCCACAACGAGATCATGTCTTTTTTTTTTTTTTTTTTTTTTTGCGTTAATTACTTATTTATTTCAAAGGCAGAGAGAGAGAGAGAGAGAGAGAGAGAGAAGCTAGCTTCCATCTGCTGGTTCACTCCCCCAAATGCCAGGGCTGGGCTAGAGCCACAGCAAGGAACTCAACCCAGGACTCCCACGTGGGCAGCAGGAACCCAACTACTTGAGCCATCGCTGCTGCCTCCCAGGGTCTACAGGAGCAGGAAGCCGGAGTCAGGGGCCAGAGGTAGGCATCACATCCAAGGCACACCGATATGGGACGTGGGCATCCTAGCCAGGGCCTGACCCGCCAGGGCACGCACCTGCCTGCTTCCTAAGAGTGACAGACAGCCTAGCTTCTTGCGTGCTCCTCATGGTGCGCGGGGCTGGGGGAAAGGCCTTTCCTCACTCACTCCCACCTCCCCTTCTTGTGCTAAGCCGGAAGCTGGCCGGGAGTACCCTGTTTCTAATGCAGCTCCTGCTGTGGAGCTGGTGGAAGCGCCTACAGACCGTACCACCACCAAGTCTTACCTCGATCTGAGACCCGTATTTTATCTCATACATTAGGATCAATCCGTTGGGGTTCTCAGGTTCCGGCCACTTCAGAAAGATGGAGTTTTCAGGCCTTGCTTCCCAGGTCACAGGGCCCGGAATGTCATCCGCTCCTTCTGTACAATCGATTGAACAAGTGACAAAGTCAGAGTCGGGTCCTCGGGGGAGGGAGAACACTGGGCTGACCAGAGGATGCTGCCGCCCCTAATCCAGGCATTGGGGAGCACACAGACTCCCCCTGAGCTGGTGCAGGGTTCGACCAACCTGAGGACCTGCACATCTCAAGGCACCGCAACATCCTCCACTCACCTGGCCGCCACCAGAAAGCCGGCACCCAGGCACCGCGGGGAAGCCTTGGCTACCTAAGCCGCTGTCTCCTACTCTGCTTCATCCACTTCAAACACCACCACACAAAACGACCGAACGCGGCAGCTGAGTGAGCAGCAGCAGAGCACGGAGCCCCTGCCGTCGGCTTCACGGCACGTACACGGGAGTGAAGGCCCCACAGGGCTGGCCGGGGAGGAGGCTGCTAGGCGTGGGACGGCATCAGCGAGCTCTCCCCTGCTGCTGACCGCTCCTGACCCTGACCTTGTGGTGGTGGCTCTCTTGCTTTTGCTTCTGAAAGCAGAAAGCAAGGTCGTGGGTCAAGGTCGTGGACAGTTACTGCTGGGAAGGGTAGTGGCAGACTGCCTGGTCTGTGTCTGTCCTGGGAGGGCTGTGGGAAGCCGAGGCACAGGAGACCAATGGCTGCCCTAAGGCAACGGCTCATCAGCACCCGGTCTGGTCACTTCCACTCCGGGTGCTACCTGACACTTCCTACAGGAACAAGAATTGGGCACTCCACCCACCTTCAAAAGTGGATGAGTGACGACTGGCTGTGTTTGAGCAACTTACAGATCAGCAGGGCGGAGGGTTTGGGAGTTCACCCAAGAAGCAGTGACCCCTCTGAACGGAGGCAGCTAACTGGGGACTTGGCGGAATCTTGGGAACTCGGGAGGGAGCAGGTGCTTTTACCTGTGCACAGTGGCGGATGCGCAGGGCAACCAGGTTGCAGGGTGAATCCTAGAGGGTGCCCCCGGGCTGGAGTACCTTCTAGAGACACGGGAGTGACACCGCTATCCCAGCATGGGTTCCGTCCCTGGCTGGCTGATCTGCCACGCTGCCTACCAGTGACTGCCCACTCCTCCGTGGGCAGGGGTGAGAGTCAGGGTCACTGCCTGGGGGCCAGACCCCGTACCCACCAACCACGGTCTTCTCCACCAGGCTACGAGTGTGCTTGCAGCAGGGAGCGCAGGGTCACACTGTACCTGCAGGCTTGGTTCTCGCAAAGACAAAGTTGGAGGCACTGCACCCCAGCTTCTCCGCCTCGTGGTTGCAGCTGTGGATATCGATGCGGTAGGAAGTAAACGGCCGCAGGTTAGATATGACCGTTATCTCCTTGTCCACTCTGGTCTCAAAGAAAGGGTATTCTGTCTCCAGCTCCTCCAGGTCCGTGCTGTTGTACATGTCCACCGCCGTGCCGTTCCTGCCTCGGCCGGACAGCGTGGTGTTGGCCACCTGGGCGACATCTCTCCGCTTCCTCTCGGGTCTGCGAGGGAGAGAAGCTTGGCTTGCAAGTGCTGCTTCTACCTCTTTTGCCTTTTTTTTTTTTTTTTAATGACTTGGGTGAGAGTAACAGGCAGAGGAGAAAAATCTTAGCCTCGGAAGACAAGGAATCATTCAGCCCCCTTGGATAAAAACCGACAAGCAACACGGGCTTTCCTTACTTCCTCCACTCTGCAGCCTCAGGTGCAGCAAACGACTCCCTGGCTCCCGGGGCGGGCACTGGCTTACACCCAGAGGCGGGCAATGCCACGGCCACCCTCGGCCAGGCGCTAAGCTGGTTGCTGTTTCACTGGTGCTCTGGGGGCCCTCTCAGTCACAGATCTTACAGTTAAGCAAGAAAAGGGGCAAGTCTGCTGGCTACACACAGATTTATCAGCAGTGAGGGCACAGATGAGGTGCAGGCCACAGTCCCTGGGGAGATGGGGGAGAGGGGTTCCAGGGGCTGTGGGTGGTGACTCACCTCTGTAAGAGATGCCCTGATCCCAGCAGCACGTGCCAGCGTGACCCCAAGACCCTCCCCGGGGGCTCCCACTGATTCTCGTCCCCAGGCCCGAGCCTGTGCCACCCTCCTGCAGGCCTCTCCAGCCTGACTTTGCCTCCCACTAAGCATCGAGCACCTGCAGCCTCCCCAAGGCTCCAGAGAGGGGCAGAGTCTTCGTCACGACTTCAGCAGGCTTCCTACCGACAGCTACAGGATCTACTGGCGTAGGAGAAGCCCACAGGAAATCATTCAGGATGGTCGTCCACACCCAAAGGGCAGAAGAGGTGGCGGGAGGCACAGGGAGGCCCCTCCGACCGCCGCTGCTGCTGGGGCAGGTGGAAAGTGAGCTTCCTGGCTCCGCCCCAGACACCTTTAAAGCAGGTTCCTGACAGGAAGCATCCAGGTCACGACACAAAAGCAGTGCCTGGACAGAGGAACAGCAACCCGCAGTGAGCGTGGACCAGAGGTGCTGAGACTGCTGGCAAAGGGAGAGAGCAAACGGGACGAATCCCAGCTGCCCAAGGACCCGAGATGACACCCAGGACACAGGAGGCCGTCAGCGCCCTGCTGGGGCGCTCCCGCGGGAGGGGCAGCCAGAAGTCACTGGAGGGCTCAGCTGCCCCAGGCTGCGCGCTGCCCCCGGGCAAACCTGGGAGGGAAGGCAGGTGCTGGGGAAGGGACCAGGGCTTTCATTCAAGAAGGGAAGAACGCAAGGAACCACATCTATCGCCAGGAGGACCTTTTTATTTACTTATTTTTTTGTCAGGCAGAGTGGACAGTGAGAGAGAGAGACAGAGAGAAAGGCCTTCCTTCCATTGGTTCACCCCTGCAATGGCCGCTGCAGCCAGCGCACCGCGCTGATCTGAAGCCATGAGCCAGGTGCTTATCCTGGTCTCCCATGGGGTGCAGGGCCCAAGCACTTGGGCCATCCTCCACTGCACTCCCGGGCCACAGCAGAGAGCTGGCCTGGAAGAAGGGCAACTGAGACAGAATCCAGCGCCCCAACTGGGACTAGAACCTGGGGTGCCGGGGCCGCAGGCGGAGGATTAGCCTAGTGAGCCACGGCGCCGGCCAGGAGGACCATTTTTACATCCAGCAAAGCTCTTGCCTTGCCTTCAAAACCAACCCAGCACACACTATGTCTACAAGTAAGAAGCTATGGGGGTTCGTGTTGTGGCACAGTGGGTTGCACTGCTGGTTGTCATGCCAGCATCCCATGTGGGCACCAGTTCACATCTGGGCTGCTCTACTTCCAATCACGCTCCCTGCCAATGTGCCCGGGAATGGCACAAGTGCTTGAGCCTTTGCCACCATGTGGGAGACCCAGACGGAATTCACGGCTCTTGGCTTAGGCCTGGCCCAGCCCTGGCCATTGCACCTATTTGGGGAGTGGATCAGTGGATAGAAGATGGACCCATTAATTCTCTCTCTCTTTCTCACCACCGTTCATATAAATTTTTTTTTTAAAACTTAAACAAAAATTCATTGATTTAAAGGCAGCACAGCAGAGGGAGGGATGGAGATGATCAATCCTCAATCCAATGCTTCACCACCCAAGTAGCCCAAATGGCCAGGGCTAGTCTGAGCCAAAGCCAGACGCCTGGAACTTCCCCTGGGTCTCCAGGTGGGTGGCAGGCACCCAAGCACTTGGGTCATCTTCTACTGCCTTCCCAGGTGTGTTAGCCGGGAACTGGGCTGGAAGTGCAGCAGCAGGATGCAACCCAGTGCTCCAATGGGGGATGCCAATGCTCTGGCGTGGCTCAACCCCCTGCACCGGCCCTAGCAACGCAGTTTTACAGCAGGAAACTGGACTTGCAAGTGAGTCTTTCCACCTCCACACTGCTCTGTTCCTTTTCTTTTCCAGACGCTGCTGGCCTCCCCTGCCGCACCTTCCCCTGCCTTTTAAAATATGCTATTTTGTTTACTATTTTTTTATTATGGCAAAGTAAACCTTAAAAATGCGATGAAAGTGCATGCAACATAAAATTGTGGCATTTTAATTCAGGGGAGTTCACTGCATTCACTATGCCACACAGTCACTGACACCTTTTCAAAAACTTGGGATCACTCCAGACAGGACCTCGCCCCATCACAGGGCGTCCTCCAGACTTGCTCCTTTGTGTCTGCCCTGCTCCACTTGGTGCCGTGGTTTCAAGCTTGTCCCTGTCATCCGGTCAGAATCCCCTTATCTGGCTGCACAATATTTCTTGGGATGTTTCCACCACAGCGCTCATCCGTTCACCTGCAGACACTGGAGCTGCTTGCAGCCTTGGGCTGCTACGGACGGCACTGCTGGGAGCCGTTCCGCCCCCCACTGCCGTCCCCACTATGCAGAAAGAGCGCTCGGAGCAGCCGGAATCCGTGGGGCAGGTGCTGCATTGCCTGGAAAGCCCATGTTCTACGCTGCTTCCCACCCTTGGGTGTGGAGCGTGCCTGGGATACTGGGCTATTTTCGGAAGCCGGGCCCCCCACAGAACTGGCTCTGCTTTTGCCCCTTTTGCAACAGGACTCCTCCTCTGCAGGCTGAGAGAGGCCCACGTCCTGGCGTTCCCACTCCCGAGCGTGGACAAGCGCCCGACGCCCTCTGCGCCCCAGCTCCTCAGCAGTAGGACAGGAGCCACCTGTTCTCTACAGGAGGCTGTGCCCTGAGCGTGGGTTACACCTGTAGGGAGCAGCAGTGCCGCCTGTCGTGGCTCCCTAAGTGGCCAGCGCTGACCTGCCTGACCCGTACCTGGGCACGAAGATGGAGTTGTGCAGGAAGTTCTCGAACACCTTGCGGTACTCCGCCTCCTCCTTCTCAGCCTGCTTCTCGGCTTCGGTCTTGGGGCACGCGCAGCAAGGCCCCTTCTCTCCGCCACAGACCTCCGTCTTGGGGTTCTCCGTCACCTCCTCCACGTCGATGGTGCCGTCCGCATACTTCCTGATGGGAATTTTGTCTTCTCCAGGAAGAAAAGCGGAAGTGGCGGTGTGAATGAGAGCTGAGCCATACACGCGCAGGACAGACACGAGCTGTCAGCCCCTCTCAGAGGAGGGCAGCTGGCTGCCAGCAAAGGCTCATGCAGCTCCCTGCGTGCACCACCCAGGGCACGGACGCATCCCAGCCGTGGGAGGGCACGGACGCATCCCAGCCGTGGGAGGGCACGGACGCATCCCAGCCGTGGGAGGGCACGGACGCATCCCAGCCGTGGGAGGGCACGGACGCATCCCAGCCGTGGGAGGGCACGGACGCATCCCAGCCGTGGGAGGGCACGGACGCATCCCAGCCGTGGGAGGGCACGGACGCATCCCAGCCGTGGGAGGGCACGGACGCATCCCAGCCGTGGGAGGGCACGGACGCATCCCAGCCGTGGGAGGGCACGGACGCATCCCAGCCGTGGGAGGGCACGGACGCATCCCAGCCGTGGGAGGGCACGGACGCATCCCAGCCGTGGGAGGGCACGGACGCATCCCAGCCGTGGGAGGGCACGGACGCATCCCAGCCGTGGGAGGGCACGGACGCATCCCAGCCGTGGGAGGGCACGGACGCATCCCAGCCGTGGGAGCCAACGCCCGCCCCGACCCAGGTGCGGTTTCCAGTATTCTTACCTTTGGAGCAGTAGTTGTGCCGGTACAGGTAGCCGTCCTGGGGCTGCCGCTGCCACCTCACGATGTAGTAGCTCAGGTTCCCGTTGGGCAGGGACGGGGGGCTCCACTTCACGATCAGCTGAGACGAGGAGTTGGATGCCGAGAGGATGTCCAAGGGGATGGAAGGAACTGGAAAGAGAACAGAGGACATTTCAGAGGACAGGCTGGCCCTTCAGATTCTCGGTGCCAGCCAAGAGGAAGCTGGGAGGCCGGCCTGGGCAAGAGGACAGTGACGGGGGTGGGCCTTCGGCACACTGCTCAGGCATCACGTGGGAGGCCCACGTCCCGTATCGGCATGCCTGGGTTCAAGTCTTGAATTCAATTCCAAATTCAGCTTCCTGCCAATGCACAGTCTTGGAGACGGCAGCAGGCGGTGGCTCAAGAACCTGGGTCCCGGCCACCCATGCACCCGTGTGGGCGAGCTGAGTTGAGTTCTGGGCTCCTGACTTTGGCCTGGCCCAGCGCTGGCTGTTGTGAGTATCTGCAGAGTGAATCGGAGGACAGAAGATCTCCGCCTGCCTGCCTCTACCTTCCAAAAACACGATACCACGATACAATATCACGCATCACTAAGAAGGGCAACAGGCACATCTCCCTGTCACCCCTGCACCTACACCTACTCCACCAGTACAGCGAGCTCAGGAAGCATGGGGCGGGGGGCACAGGGCTTATCTGGAGCACAGGTACCTGAGGCGTTGGTGCGAATGTACAAGATTTCACTCTTGGCCCCTCGGATGTGGTCATTCTCCACCATGGTGAGGGTCACGGCCTTGACGTAGACGGCGTACTGAGTCCAGGGCTTCAGCCCTTGCAGTAGAATACCAGGCTCTAGGTCCTTGTTGGGAGGGAGGTCCACGTCCACCATGTTCCAGCTGTTGGAGCCGCAGGCGTCCTGCCCATCATACTCCGTCACATTTTTAAAGGGTCTGAAAGACAGCAAAGCTCACACAAAACCTTCCCAGGGTCTCACATGTCACACTTTCCACAACGGGAATCCTAACTCGAGTAACAGTCGATCAGATCTGCATGGTAGGACACGGCTCGGCGGCTGGGACCCAGGCTTCCCCAGAGTCACGCCCTGAGCCCTGCAGGCCAACTCTCAGGAACGAGCTGTTCCATCGCTACTGCGACTGACAAGGCTGCTCCCTAAGGACACATGCAAGTGCTCATATCCTCTGGCTGCGGCATTTTTTCATTGTAAGAAAAAAAAAAACACAGCCATTTAAAGCAAATTTCAGATATTAAAAAAAGAAAAGTTTTTGGCTGGCGCGTGGCTCACTGGGCTAATCCTCCACCTGCGGTGTTAGCACCCAGGGTTTCTAGTCCAGGTCGGGGCGCCGGATTCTGTCCCGGTTGCTCCTCTTTCAGGCCAGCTCTCTGCTGTGGCCCGGGAAGGCAGTGAGGATGGCCCAAGTGCTTGGGCCCTGCACCCCATGGGAGACCAGGAGAAGCACCTGGCTCCTGGCTTTGGATCGGCGCAGTGCCAGCCATAACGGCCATTTTGGGGGTGAACCAATGGCAAAAGGAAGACCTTTCTCTCTGTCTCTCTCACTGTCTAACTCTGCCTGTCAAAAAATAAATAAATAAATAAAAAAGTTTTGGAGAAAAATGACGTCCTACAGAAAAACAGTACCTTAAAAAATCTAAATTGCTCGCCAACTCCAATGCACAGGTGTCTTGTATTAAACACTTCCCAGACTGCCTCAGTAATTAGCATCTGCTCCTCAGTGAGATGGTCAGCAGCCACGGCCAAAGCACTGGCAGGACCCTCAGGGAGATGCGTGGTGCAGCGTGGAAACTGCACTCATCAGATCAGAGGTCTGGAGAGCTACCGGCCACGGGCATGGGGAGTGGACATCAACGTGGCCTTGCCTGCCGTCACCATGGCAGCACAGACACAAACCCTGGATGCCGCATAAGCCCGAGCTTCTCATTCTTCAAGCCATCTCCAGGACCCAGCTCCAGCAAGAGAAAGGGCACCAGATGCTGCCACGGGGCTTCTGGTTCCCACCCCTGGGAAGCCAAGCACCCGGGAAAGCAACCTGTGGCACTAAGATGGGCCTTAGATGAAAAGATGACTATGCAGATGGGGGAACCACGTGCACATGGGAGGCGAAGGAAGGAGGGAGACCAGTGAGAGCCGCGGTCAGTTAGCAACTGCCAGGGCAGGTGGCTATCACCTGATGGCACAAGAGATATCGAGTAGCTTCTGGTAGAGACGTGGAGCTTGGTTGCCCTTCCTTCTCCTTCCCCCATTGGAGGGCTCATGACCTAGGAGCAGAGACTGAGAGGGGTCCATGCACCAGAGACCATGGACCAGACCAGCTGTGCAACCTTGGGGACTCCTGGAGTAGGGCTCCCGGGGACGAAGGTCGGGACGACGCTTCAACCAAGTCCCCAGCACAGTTTATGACACTTGGATTGACCCAATTCTCCCCCAAATACCCAAGCTTTCTCTCTTGGGCTTTCGTATGTTTGACAACCTCTAATTACCCAAAGAAGGAAAGACCTGAAGCTAATGCTATCCCAGGTGGCTGCCACTGGCTAGGGTGCACGTCACCAGGCAGCCAGGACAGGGGCTCAGCCTGGCTTTCCCTGGGGACCCAGCTGACTCCCTGCATTCAGCCAATGGTGCAACGACCACAAGGCTGGCTGCACCCTGTCCCCACCCTGCCAACAGCAAGACAGCACCAAATGCAGAAACTCACGCCTCCTTGTAGTAGACGGTGAAGCTGATGAGATCCCTGTAGTCAGGGGGGCGGTAGCGGTGCCAGGTTAGGATGATGCGGTTCTTCCACGTGTTGGTGGAGGTGAAATGCAGGATGTCGCTCTCACCTGGGGCACAGGGGTACATCCGTGAGTGACAGATGCCTGTGTCTCGGGAAAGCACCTGTCTCGGCAGCAGCCCCGTCTCCCCCAGCGCTGACTACCCATGCACGGTTCTGCCCGGACTCCCCACATGGCCTCCTGGTTGTCTACAAACAGCTCCACTATGTGGAGCTCCAAGGGGCTCGCTCCCTGGTCCTCATCCGGTCAGCTGTGCTGGCTGCTTGCCTGGGGAACTGTGAGTGTGTCCTAACCTGAAGTTCAGTGCATGACGTCACCGTGCCTTTCTGCCCACCCCTAAGATGCTGCTTCTCAAAGGGTGCCTGGTGGGTGGGAGTGAACCGTTCAGCTGGATGGAAGTGTCTAAGGATGATGGCACCTGCCCTGCAGTGGGGCACACCCACAGGTGTGGCCCAGGAAGGAACTGCTTAGTCCACACTGGGCGGCAAACCCGAAGGACACAGGAACTCCTTGGAGGACAGCCGCAGGGGACCAGATGAAGCGTGGTCAACAACAGCTTCATTCAGCCAAGCCCTCTGTGCCCTTGGGCGGACCGTCCGGGCTGCTGAGGGAAGCCAGGGACCAGCCCCAAGTTCCAACTCTGAGGAGCACCAGGGAGGACTGATGGCGCCCGCCCTCCTTAGCCTGCAGGGTGCCTTCCTCCAAGGCCCCTGCGCACCAGGAGGGGAAGCAGTGAGACTGAAGGCCAAGGCCATCAAGACTAAGAAGCTCAACTAAGACAGGGAAGGCGCTGCCATGGCACAGCTGATGTGCTATTCGGGGATTTCCCCCAACCCTGTTTCGGAGGGGAAATCAGCGGCTGCTGTGTTCGCAACCTGACAGGTTGGACTGGCCGACCTGAGAATGCCCTGGTAGCCCTGCCTGTGCTGGGGTCTGAGCAGGGGGCAGGCAGGGGCTCTGGACACGCCCTCCAGCTCCGGGGCCCGATCCTTCCCTCTGTGACCCCTCCGTGCAGTCCCAGTGACCGCCAGGTGAGGAGTCCAGACGCCAGTGAAGCAAGCCGCAGCCCACTGCTAGCTATGTCACAGAGCCACCCCGAGCGTGCGCAGGTGCGAACGCCTGCTCGGGCCTACGACGCTTCTCTAACTCCCTTCCCTTGCCTTCCGGGAAGTCCAGTGGGAAGGGAAGATTTACTTTTATGGCCCCATCCAGCCAAACAGAGCCCCAGTTTTTTTTAAGATTTCTTTTTTATTTATTTGAAAAGCAGAGTTACAGAGAGAGAGTTAGTTCTTCCATCTACGGGTTCACTCCCCAAATGGCCACAATGGCCAGAGCTGGGCCAGACTGAAACCAGGAGCCAGGAGGGTCATCTGGGTCTCCCATGTGGGTGCAGCAGTCCAAGGACTTGGGCCATCTTCCTCTGCTTTTACAGGCATGCCAGCAGGGAGCTGGGTCAGAAGTGGAGCAGCCAGGGCTCAAACCTGTGCCCATTGGGATTCCGGCATCACGGGAGGCAGCTTAACCTGTTGTACCACAATACCGGCCCCTGGAGCCCTATTTTTAAAAGCATTTTTCTGGGGACTGGCGTTGTGGCATACAGCTTAAGCTGCTGCCTGCAATGTTCCACTTCCAATTCAGCTCCTTGCTAACGTGCCTGAGAAAGCAGCAGAGGATGGCCCAAGCGCTTGGGCCCCTGCAACCCACATGGGAGACCCAGACGAAGCTCTTGGCTTCAGCATGGCCCAGCCCCGGCTGTTGTGGACATTTGGGGAGTGAACCAGCGGATGGAAGATCTCTCTCTCTCTCCCTCTCTCTCTCCCTGTAACCCTGCCTTTCAAATAAATAAGTAAAATAAATCTCTCTCTCAAAAAAAAGCAGTCTTCTATACAGGATTAGATGAGAAGCGCATGACTCTAACTCTGATAAGAGAGCCTAAAGTCAAAGTTTCCAATTAAATTGCTGAAAATTTAAAAAGTGGTATCAATTCTGGACTGTGGGCTCACTCCATCTTTTCTGTGTTGGGGTGGGGGTGGGGCAGAGGCCGAGCCCACGGGGGGCTGTGGGGAGTGAGGGCGGAGCTCAGGCGCGCACTGGGATGGACAGTACGGGCTCGTTTTTTAAAAGGCCCTCGCTTCGTGTGAGGAGACAGGAAGCGCTGGGGCTCCCGAGCACCTGTTTAAATGCAAGTGGGAACAGTTCACAAGCCTCTGGGGCGCTCACAGGGAAACTGGCCCGCACACAGGGGTCACTGCTGCCACCATCAGCCGTGGCCGGGATGGGGGCGGGGTCCAAGGCTCCCCAGGCAGGGGAGGGCCTGCGGCCACTCACAGGAGGCTCTCTCCCCGTTGTTCCTGGTGTTTATGTCGCCCTTGCTCTGGCGTCCTTTCGTCCCCGTCACGTCCTCCATGCGGTAAATTTCCGACACGCACAGTTTGGGGTTGAAGGCGAAGTACATCTTCCCAGCTTTGATGGTCAGGTTGCGGTGGTCCCAGTCCCAGAGCTGCTGCAAGTTCTGGTTGTCCAGGACGTAGAAGGAGTAGTTCCTGGAAGCACAGAACCCGCCATTAGTGCACCTGTCCCGGCCCACGGTCCGTCTTAGCCAGAGGGCCCCATCTCATGCGGTCCTCCCCGTCACGTGACGCCACTAGGGCATTTCCTTTGCCGATAAGAGGTTGTGCTGTTAACCCTGAGTGTTATCAGCATCGGCAATGGCATGAGTCAAGGACACCACCTGGACATCCTTCGGAGGGTAACTAACTTCATGACCTCCACTGCTCACGAATGACCCTCCCCACACGGGGAGGCACTCCTCGGACCACTCCCTACAAATGCCTTTGGTTATGTGCTCGGAGCTGGGTACCTACAGTGAGGCTGAAAGCGGCCCTCGGGGGAGCAGACACGCTTGGCTGCCCAACCGGAGCGGCTAACATCTTGCTGTAGCGTCTCCCGTTAGCCTTGGGAATAAATCCTGCCCATGTCCAGCGAGCAGCACAGCAAACAATGGGAGGGGAGACAGACACAAGGGGACCAGCCATGAGCTTTCTCCCACCTCCCCCACACTCATCTCTGACTTCAGGCTTCAAGCCTTGGAGAAGGTGTGGGGGAGAAGTGGTCCCGGGCAGGCAGCCCCCAGGGCCTCCCGTGAGGCAGCAGGATTTAGTGTCCAGGTTCAGCCTGTACAGAGCTCAGCAGATCGGGGCAGGCTGAGAATCTGCATTTCCCACTCGTGCCAAGTTGCAGGCCCACACGGGGGAACCACTGATCTAACAGAAGAGCTTCCATGAGGTGCTGGGGGCCCCAGGCCCACTAGGCCCAATGTGGCACCTGCTCCAGGAAGGGGACACACAAGCAGTAGGTCCACGGGGACAGCAGCATGGGAAACTTATCCCTGGATACCCCAGGATCAGGAGGAACCCCTCTCCAGGGAGGTGAGACAGCAGGTGGCCACAGCTTAGAGAAGGATCCCCGTGGCTGTCTGCCGGCTCCCCAGGGGAGCCAGAGAGAGGCCTAAGTCATAGTTGGCGGCTGAGTCTGCCACCCCTGGAACTGGAATTATTTCTCTCTTCCGGTTCTCCAGCCTCAGTTCCTTTCTGGGGCTCATTCAGAGCTTGATGACTGGCCGGGGCTTTTGTTTCTAAGACACACTCCTAGACCCAGCACACGATCACAGAGAAGGAAGGAGCAGAGCCCTCTCTCCGCTGACCAGGGCCAGACAGAACTCGATCTCCACTGTGCACGGAGGCTGCATCGCCCAGGCAGCTCTCTGTAGCTGCTGAGTGTCTTCACCGCACCTGCACGGAGACCTAAATCCTCAGTCGGAGCCGCACACAGGGTGAAGCACAAAGCACGCGCACAACACCCTCCCCACAGAATCCACAGGGTGTTCAGAGCAGGAGAGGGTCCAGGCACAGCCCCAGGACCCAAAATGCCGGGGATGAGCCACACAGCAGAGGCAGGTCCTTCAGTGCTGTTTGTAGCCCCATTTACGAACTCCCACAAGCAGGGGTGTGGACAGGTGACACCTGAGCTCCCTCTCGGTTTCGAGAGCCCATGACCCCACTGCTCAGTCGCATAGCCTGAAGCCCAAGCCCTTCCCAGCACTGGACTCCGTGGGAATCCCGACCCCACGGGGATTCCAAAGGCAGTGCCTCTGAAACCCACCCTGAGGTCGGAACACTTTCACGGCCACCAAAGCAGCCCCAGAAACAGGAGCCACCCATGCTTTCCTTCCAGTAAGGGCTCATTCCTGGTCACGCACGTGTGGCCTCGGACTGTGACCCCAGACCTGGTACGTGCAATGTGACGGGGGTGGTGCCCAGGGCAGTCCTGGCTCATGGCCAGATGCACCTGCCACCCCCAGGGGCAGGTCCCACACGAGTCTTCCTTCTACCCGCCAGGCTGCAGAGGTCGGGGAACTCAGGCGGGCTCGGACTGAAGCAGATGTCCTACCAGAGGCCTACACTTGCTCACAGGACACTTCCGAGTCGGGTCCCAAGGGGAATGAGCATCAGCGGTGCCCCTGGTGCCCCTGGCTGCTGCCGGGTACCTGAGTGAGCCTCACGGGACAGAACCTCCCTGGTGGGGAAGGGGTCTTCGGGCCGGGAGCAAAGGCCAACAAATCAGGTCTAACTCCATTTAACCCATGATGAGGCCTCTCTTTTTCTTAGATTTATTTTTATTCATTTGAGAGAGCAAGAAAGGGAGACAGACAGACAGAAATATCTTCCATCAGCTGGTTCACTCCCCAAATGAACACAATAGCTGGGGCTGGGCCAGGCTGATGCCTGGAGCCAGTAACTCCATCCACGTCTCCCACATGGGTGGCAGGGGCCCAAGGACTTGGACCATCTTCTGCTAAGGCGAGTTACCAGGGAGCTGGATCGGAAGTGGAGCAGCCAGGGATGGATCCAGTGCTCCGATACGGGATGCTGGCGCCAGAGGTGGCAGCTTAACCCACTGGGCCATGACGCCAGCCCCGGTACATCTTTTCATAACTAATTTTGCTTGCAGGAAACAGAACCACACGGGAAACACCTTCCAAACAAAACCGTCTTCTGCTCACGGGAGGAAGCGTGAATCACTGATGAGGAATTTGACAAATGAATGGCAGGCACGCTGAGAGTCTATGTATTTGATTAATTGCTTTGAAAAGTGAGATTATCTTTTTCTTACAGTAAACACAAACATTTTTTTACAACACTGAGAACACTGGGAGCCAGGATACCAATATCAATAAAACCCAGGTATTATGAAGCCTGTGGAAGCTAAGGAGAAATAAAAATAAAACCCTCATCAAAATAATAATCAAGCCGTTCGCGAGCTGCCTGTCAACACTGCTCCTGTTTTTCCAACTCCAGCTCGAGGCTCAGACTGCACCCTACACCCCACCGGCGATGAGGTGAGAGTAAGACGTGGGGAAAAGGCAGGGACCTGTCGGCACATCTTCAAAACACGCCCCCGCCGAAGCAAACGGCTCTTTCCGGAAATCGTCGGTAAACGTGATTTCCCGGCTGCCCCGAGATCTCTGCCTTGACAGACAGAATATTTTTAAGAAATTAAGTTCCCTGTTTGTTTTCCTTCGGCTCCCACAGGCTCCGTGCTGCCCGAGTTTTATTGATATTGGTGTCTGGGCTCTCGGCCTTCTCAATGTTGCAAAAAATGTTTGTTTCCATACTTGGGTAGGCCTCATCAACCAGGCTGTAGACAAACCGGGGTGGCCGGAACGGCTGCTTATCTCGGAGAACGCGATGCCTGGTGTGTGGCATACACCGGCCTGTGCTAGGGGTGGCGGCCACCTCAGGGCTGTCTTACCTCCACGTGGTAGGTTCCACGACCTCCCCATGAAGAGGGGTGGGGAGCAAGGCTGGGACAGTGCTGGGGATGTGAGCTGGACAGAGAAGACGGCCCCAGGCCCGGGTTCAGGAGCCTGGAGATGGGGTACGAGCCTCATCGCCACTGCCTACTAAGGAACCACTGCACTTAGCCTCTCCCAGGCTGCAGGTCTGTAGCTGCAAACGGAGGTGTCTTCCTGCTCTCTGGCCCCGAGGCCACAGGGGAGAGGATGCTGTGAGCTCTGAAGCACCTCACAAAGTGGCGGGAAGACCTGTTCTGCTCTCTGAAGTGTCCGCTTCCCCGGAACAAAGTCACAGTGAGAGGAAAGGCCTGTGCCTTGAACGCCGGGACCCGGCCCGAGGTCTGCGGCCTGCGGGGGTGGGAAGGGACACTCCCTCCTTGCTGGCCCTTGCTGGCATATTGGGAAAAAGAATTTGCAAACACGTGACCAGCTTCCAGCTCAGTTCTCAGACGAGAAACTGCTTCTGGCTGTCTCTGGAGGGCATCAGACCCTGGCACACGGACGCTGTCTGGCGGCAAAGCCAAGGCCGCTGATCCGGGACCTGGTCTCTGGCAGCTGCTCCCTCCCACTCACCTGCAAACAGACTGGCTGATCCCAGGTTCAGCACCCATACCCAGTGTTTACACCGACCGCAGGGGTACAGGTACAGGTGGGACTGGGCACCACACGGGATAAAAAAAAAATTTCTATTTTTTCTTCCAGGTTGCTTTACTGAAGTCAAGTTTACCTGCCAAAAAATCACCCATCCTGTGCGATCAGTTGTGTGAGCTTTGGTTAATCTATGAAGCTGTCCAACCGTCATCACCACCCGGTTTCAAAACATTTCTGTCACCCTAAGGGCCCCCTCTTCTGCTGGCACCGTCTCTCCACGCCTACCTCCAGCCATCACTGCGCTGCTGTCTGCATGGTTTCGCTGTTTCTAGAAACCACACATTAACAGACTCATGCAAAGCCTATGGCTCTTTTTTTTTTTTTTCCCCTTAGCCTAATGTTTCTGAGGAAAGCAGTGCCCCATTCTGCTAAATCTATCTGTTCATTTGCTGATGGACATTGGGATCTTCCAATGGCATTTTTTAGGGGCAGGGAGGGGTGGGTATGAGGAACAATGCTGCTATGGGCACTCAATACAAGTCTTGCGAGGGCATGTTTTCCTCTTGGGTAGACACTGGGTAGATCCTGCGCCTGCTGGGTCACACGGCTAAGTGTGTATTCTTAAGTGTCTGGGAAGTGTTAGCTTTGTGCAGTCATCTGTCCGTGGTGGAGCCCAGCGTCCTGAGGGAGCCCAGGGCCGTGCAGATGACCCTGCTGGGGTTCAGCACTTCAGACGGGCGGCTGTCACTCCTGGCAGGAACAGCTGCTACTGCGGCCTCGGCTGAGGGTTCACAACCCGGGAAGAACGAAACGTCTCTGTTTTCCAGAACAGCAACACCCAAGGGTGGAGAACCCTGACTCCACACAAGCCCTGGGCCTGCACACAACGCCGTGGGCTCGTCCCGCCTTCTCTTTACCAAGGGCGGGCTCTCACCTGCGTGGCGGCGAGTCTGCCATCAGGCCCCTCAGCCACAGAAGGACGGCGCAGGACACCCGGAGCACTCACCCTTCCAGCTGCTCCTCCCCTAGGATCTGGCGGAGGTTCTTCAGGAAGGACAAGGAGACCAAGGCGTGCGAGTGGCTGATCTTCACGTAGCCCGTCACCACCTCGATGAGCCCCATGAAGTTCTCCAGCTCCGAGGCAATGTTATCTGTGTGGGGAGGACACTGGGTCAGCGGGCGCTCGCTTCCCACAAGGGTGACCAACTTGGGTTCTTAGAAACACGTGTGGGGCGCAGTGTAGGGGGGCTCCTGGCACAGGACCGACACTTCCCGCAGCAAAATTCCCCACTTCCCTGAGCTCGGCTTTCAACAGCCACCCCCGGGACGAGGCCTCCCGGGCGGGGAAGGGAGGTCTCCGGGCGGCTGGGGCTGCATCCCCATGCTGACGAGCAGCAGGTCGGATCATAAATCCTGCACTGCCGATTACTGACACAGGCAGGGAGCATCTTCCAATATGCTCTGCCGACAGACAGCACCGCCTCCACGGCACCAGGGCTCAGCCAGAGAGAGCAGAGCGGCTTCAGGGTCTCGCTAGGAGGTGCCTATGCTACACTTCCAGTTCCTGAGATACAGGATCTATGGTTCAGATCCCGCCTCATTCAACTTGGAGGAAAACACCAGAATGTCAGCAATGGCTGACTGCAGGTAGGTTTTTTTTTTTTTTTTTTTGACAGGCAGAGTGGACAGTGAGAGAGAGAGACAGAGAGAAAGGTCTTCCTTTTTGCCGTTGGTTCACCCTCCAATGGCCGCCACGGCTGGCGCGCTGCGGCCGGCGCACCGCGCTGATCCAATGGCAGGAGCCAGGTGCTTTTCCTGGTCTCCCATGGGGTGCAGGGCCCAAGCACCTGGGCCATCCTCCACTGCACTCCCTGGCCACAGCAGAGGGCTGGCCTGGAAGAGGGGCAACCGGGACAGAATCCGGCGCCCCAACCAGGACTAGAACCCGGTGTGCCGGCGCCGCTAGGTGGAGGATTAGCCTAGTGAGCCGCGGCGCCGGCCTGCAGGTAGGTTTTTAAAAACCCATTTCGAAGTTTTCTGTAATTAATTTCATAGCAAGAAAATAGTTGAACAAAACAGCTGCCAATACAGAAGCAGAAACCACATGGTATGTACACAGCGGATTTCCTGTCATTTTGTTTCACTTACCTGTTTCTCGTAAAAGTAAAAAAAAAAAAAATAGACTTCAGTTTAACATAGGCCAACATTATAATACGGACTATGAAGAATTCACAGTGGTTCAATGACTGGGATTTTCCTGTGACTGCTTTATGGAGGTTTATTTAATAACAGACCCTATTTTGCTTTGAATTGATAAAAATAAAAGAAGGCCAGTTTCTTGGAGGGTAAGACTCCCTCTAAATTTAATGTGGACTTTCATCACTTTCCAAAAATTAAAAGGAAACTCCAGCTGGGAAGACACGAGTCTGCTCACGGTTATGGCTCAAGGAAAAGGGGATGAATTCAAACGCGGTACAGGAAGCATGCCTGCCACTCAGGGCCAGGAATCTCCTTCCCAACGAGGTGTCCTGTCTCCTTAAATCCAGCCCACGGCTTTCTGGAAGATACAGTTCACCATCACGCGTGACGCGTGCTACTCTTACACCGGTGACACTTCTCCATGAGTCTAATTCATGGATCGAATGGTGATCTTCTAGACAAGATGAGCAAAGGGTTTGCGTACTTAGAAGCTGTGTTCTGGGGACACGTTAGTAAAGGAATGTGCTGAGAGCATAGGGGACCCAAGGTCGGCAGGCGCACGAGGGCAAGGCAGTCGCGGCTGCAGGAACAGTGAATTCCAATGTGGAGGCTGGGGTGTGCCCCCAAAACAGCGAATAACAACCCCACAAGAACTAAGCAAAAATCTTTTCTCTGCCATTTCTAAACCTGTAAGGACACAGTCCACTCAGTCCGTAAATAGCAAGGAAAAGTCAAATCACAGAACACTCACCCCACCACCACCAAACTTAAAAAAAAAAAAAAACCTAACAAAAGGATTTACAAGACAGAAATTCCTTTCCTCTTCCGGGTCCGGTCTCCTTACTGTCCTATCCCGGCTTATTAAATGATCAGGACCTCGGCCACGCGGCCCTGGTAGCACGGGCGCCATTGCTAGAATCCTTGTGGACTAAAGATCGGAAGTGACAGCACGCAGGACAGGCTGTGCAAATGCGGCTTCACCAGGAACACCACCTTCTGCACATCCAGGGTTACGCACACGCCAACACATGGTTGTGTCTCTGGGCTCTCAGCAGTACATGGGAGATCGACCAGCTCTTCTGGACTTTATAACAGTTTGATACGCTATATACAAAACACGTCCTTTCGCTTGGGCTCCTCCATGTATGCGATAACCCAACCTCAAGGCAGGGCATGTGGGTGGAGCTGTGGGGTACGGAGGCCTAGCTCTGAGCCATCTGCCTCTCTCAGGGCTCCTGTGCGCAGCGCCAGGCTTGTCCTGGGCAAGACGTGACCAACAGAAAGATGACCTTTACACGAAGCAACACTGTTCCTGTCAACCTGCTTTTATCTCCGAGGGAGACTCATTGGAGAGACAAGCGGCAGGGAGCTTACACACGGTTGCTGGTTTTCATTTTGACACAGAGGAAGAACACCCATAAAAGACAGCCTAGAGACCCAGCCCGCTTCCGGCAGAGGGGATACTCACTGCCTCGTCGGATGTTAATGAGCAGATTCCCCTTGAAGATGGTGCAGCCTTGGAGCATTTGAGCAGAATTAACAGAATCAATGGTCTTTGTTTTCTTGTCTTCCTCACAGACCTTGGGGCACGGACCTTCACAGGGAATGCAGAACATGCTGTGGAAGACAAAGAATCCACACACACACCACACAGAAAGAACACGGAGGATGTGAGTCTGTCTCCTTGCATTAAAAATCATCACTGCACGTTTAGCACGCACTGCGAGAAGCAACTGCTCTGACGCGTTCGAGTGATGGCGCGGTATCTCATCCCCAAGCCCACCCAGCCGCTCAGACTGCAGCCGAGAGGAGAAGGTGCCTGCAGAGGACGAGCGTGCTGCTTGTTTCCAGACAAAACACCGCTCCATCCTGGAGGCTTGTGCGCATCCCGGGCTGCCGGCTGGTGGGCCAGCTGGCTCCATGTGGGAGTCCCAGCCTCGCAGAGGGAGCTCTGGGGGCTGTGGGGACACAGCCGCTCTCTGAGGGCCTGGCCCTTGCCTGCACACCTGCAGCAGGAGCTGGGAGAGCTGACAGGGGTGGCAGTGTCTCTGCCACTCACAGGAACCTGGCTCCTGCCGTGGGAGGCCCAGGGAAGCCCACTGAGGGATTCCAACAGGCACGTGGCTCTGCGCAGATCCGTACGTCCCGCTCCAGCACTACCGAAACTCCTCCCTGACAGTGTTTTGCAGAAACATGTAAATTGATCCAAATGTTGTTTTGCTGCATATGCAATAAAAGCAAGGCGGAGTTTCCATCACTTTGTACTGAGTTCCTATTGCAAACGCTAACCTGAGTGTGACACAAAGCAGTGTTAGGTGGCTCCTCTCCCGCCTGCCCACCACCACTCAGGAGCAGCAGGCAGCGTGCTGGCCCAGCAGCCGAACCTTTGGGATCCACGGCTATATAGAGAACTGGGGTCAGAAAGCCGGGTTGATTCCAAAAAAGATAAATGATGGAAACTTCTGGGGTGTCTGTGGGGCAGCCTGGTAAGTCAGCCAGCCACGAGAGCTGCTTGACCGTTCTTAAATGATCTTTTCCATTTCCGAAAGAAAAAGCATCAAGAAAACAGTCTGAGTTAGAGCTCTTTATATTAGAGTCCTCCCTGCTCCTCAAATGTGTTTTATTAAGGATTTGTTTTTATTGTTTATTTGAAAGGCAGAGAGAGTAACACAGGGAGAGAGGGACAGACAGTCGTCTTCCATCAGCCACTTCACTCCACCGATGGCAGCAATGGCTGGGGCTGGGTCAGGCTGAAGCCAGGAGCCAAAGCTCTAACAGGTCTCCCACACGGGTGGCAGGGACCCAAGGACTCAGGCCATCTTCTGCTGCTGATTAGAAGTGGAGTGGCTGGGACTCGAACCGGCATTCTGATATGGGATGCCAGCTTCAGAGGCAGTAGCTTAACCCACAGGACCACAGCACCAGCCCCTGGGAATCTTATTTTCTATTTAAGAGAGAGATGCAGGGTTATTCTGTTTAGAAGCTTAAACAGAATTTCTCTGTATATTCCTTTTTCCTTTTGGGTGAATAAGGACCCAGGCTTCCACAGGGTCCTGCAGGAACCCGACCCAGGGCAGAGGGGCTCAGCTGCACACTCAGCATCGTTACTTCTCGCACAGGGAGCAGCTTTCATTCAGCATGCTCCGTCTGCCTTCCCTTGTTTCTCATTTATGGACTTCTTATTTATTTGTATTTATTTGAGAGACTGAGTGGCAGAGCAAGAGAGAGAGAAACATGGACATACAGAGCCCCCCCATCCACTGGTTACTCCCCAAATGCCCACAACTGCTGGGGCTGGGTCAGACCAAAGCCAGGAACTCCATCCAGGTCTCCCACATGGGTGGCAGGGACCCGACCACTTGGGTCATCACCTGCTGCCTCCCAGAGTGTGCATTAGCAGGAAGCTGGGATGAGGATCGTAGCCAGGACTCAAGCCCAGGCGCTCTGAGACGGGAGGTGGGCACCCTCACTAGCGTGCAACCGCTGTGCCACACGCCGCCTCTCTTGTTTCTTAATTACTCAGATGCCGCAGAATCTCGTGCGGCTTCCATTTTTAAACCCTTTGCATCTTGAAATAGCTGTAGGTTCACAAAGTTGCAGAGACGGTACAGAGACCTCAGGCACCCTTCACCTGATTTCCTCCCGTGGTCACCACATCTAACGTGATGATCTTGCCCTAGGAAAACCAGGAAATGAACACTGCCACAGCGTGTGCGCGGCCCTGTGCCATCGCATCGCCGTGCAGGTCTGCGTGACCCCAAGGCAGGCAAGACACTGCCACAAAGATCGCCCTCGTGCTCCCTACCCAGGCATGGGCACCTCCGCACCCAGAATTCCCAACTCCTGGCAACCACTGAACTGTCCTCCGTGTCTATCATCCTGTCATTTGGAGACTGTTACATAAGTGGAATTATACAGTAGGTGACCTTTAGCGATCAGCTTTTTTTTTTCACACAGCATAATGTCCTTGAGACCCAGCCAAGTGTGTGTTTTGATGGTTTGTTCCTTTTTCTTGCTGAGCAATAGTCCACGGTGTGGGTGCACAGTTTGCTTCGTCACTTACCTACCACAGAGCATCTCAGTGCCTCCACTTTGTGGCCACTACAAAGGAAGTTGCTATAGGAATAAAAGCGTACATGATTTTGGGTCGACATTAGCATTTTTATTTCTCTTGGACAAATGTCCAGGATTGCAAGGCAGCTGCATGTTTAGTTCCCCTCCATCTTTTAATCAAACAGGAATTTCTGACACAGACACACACATGCACACATACACACTGACAAAATGTCTAGGGATCACCTGGGTCTGAAACACCTGTTTTCCTAAGGGAGTGTTCTAAGCACGTGGTATATATTTAAGCGTCCTCAAATCCACCCTAGTATTACAAGTACTAAACATATATGTTTAAAGTGAGTGTTAAATCGGCCTCAAAGGCTAGGAGAGGGGGATTTATTATTTCTTGTTGGAATTTTATCTTAAAATGGAAAAAGTGGGGCTGGTGCTGTGGCATAGCGGGTTAAGCACCACCTACAGCGCCAGCAACCCATGTGGGCACCAGCCGGAGTCTCAACTGCTCCACTTCTGATCCAGCTCCCTGCTAATGCACCTGGGAAAGCAGTGGAAGATGGGCCCCTGTACCCGCTGGGAGACCCGGAAGAAGCACCTGGCTTTGGATCTGCCCAGCTCCAGCTTGCAGCCATCTGGGGAGTGAACCAGTGGATGGAAGATTCTCTCTCTCTGCCTCCACCTCTCCCTCTCTGTAACACCACTTTTCAAATAAATAAATAAATCTTTAAAAAACAATAAAATGAAATGGAAAGGGTGTATGTGTACTTGTGAACAGATGGCCAAGCTTGGTTCTTCGAGGAATGCACTGAAGACCAAAGGCGCTGCCCGCCACCCTGGCTGCTGCAGGACAACCGCCCCACGCTGAGCCCCCAGACCACCTGCCCTGGCCCTCCCCTCCAGCTCCAGGAGGAAGGGGAAGTGAGAACTGGGGCTGAGCCTCCCCTGGGTGCCAGACTTGGCCCTAGGGCCCAAGGTGGGCCTTGGTAAAGCCCCATTTATCTTCTAGGACTGCCGGTACAATGAAGGCAGAAGACGGCAGACGTAATTTTAGGTGGAATCTGTACACTTTACGGCTCATTCCAGTTCTTGGCCCAGTATCATCTCAAAGCCTTCCACACGTTCTGTTTCCTGTGACGGTGTTCACAGAAATTAGAACCAGCAGAAAGCTGCCTGACGTGCAATACTTCGAAAGAATGCAAGTTTTGTTTTCTATTTGGAAGTGAGCCTAAGAGAGGAGCGACGTCTCCAAACACCACGTTGCAAACAGCCCCTCTCCACGGAGAACTGCCTCACGTTGTTTGCAGAAGTGGTACTGAGAATCGGAGTTCCCTTTTCCAACGCTCTGTCCTATTTGCAGAATAGAGTTACTTTGAAGACCCCAGCGGCAGAAGGGCCCCTGGTGCCAACAATGATGGAGGCACTGGGCCCAGGACAACAGAACGACCCTCTAAGTTCTCTGCCCGCTCCAGGGGAGGCGACAGCAGCCCTAGACCTCGACTCTTGTGTCGCGTCCACAGTGGAGGTCACCACACCAGCGCCTCTTCTGTAGAAGCCTAGGACAGCTCCCAGCAGTCCCGTGGGCACACACAGACGCTGGTGCCTGTTCTCAGGCGCCCCTTTCTGGGTGAAGTCTCGCATCCATGAAGACAAAGGAGGGAGCACAGAAAAGTGTGGGGGGGGGTGGAGCTGAAGGGTGTGAGGGGGCAGAGGTGCTCCCACTTGAAAGTCACTGTGCGTGCCCTGAGCCCACACTGAGAGGTGGCAGCCGCTTGGTGCCAGCAGAGCCTTGTCCCCTTGCGCCCCTGGCACTCCCAGAGCCTGCACTGGGGGAGCGTGGAGCAGCACCGGAGAAAGACAGGCTTCACCTACAGTCCCAGCTCCGCACACGCACAGCACATGAACCCCGCAAGCCAGGTCCTGAATCTCAAGTGTGTGTGTGTGTGTGTGTATGTGGGGGGATGCACAGAAACATGCCACTCGCTCCCAGAGTCTCATCAAGAATCCAGGTTCCACCAGCCCTCTGCAACGGACCCACCCGAGGGTCCCCCGGCCGTGCGTGCCCTCGGGGGCCCGTGGGACCACTCACCTCTGGCTGCCGTTGCGGATGAAGCCCGACGGGCACTCCTGCATGCACTCGCCGTCGTGGATGACAAAGCCCTCGGAGTCGCCGCCATCGGCGTTAGGGATGTTGGCGCAGAAGTCGCGGTCCACGCAGCGCCAGCCCTCGAATCGGTAGGTGTTGGGCGGGCAGGCGGGCACGCAGACGCCGGAGAAATAGTAGTGGCGGCAGGCGACGCAGGCCGTGTCGTCGTCAGGCGCGTGGCAGCTGCCCAGGCACTCGGGGTGGCAGCATTCGTTGTTCTCGGTGCATGCCCGCTTCCCGCACGCGCTGGGGCACACTGCGAGGACAAAGGGGAGAGGGCTGTGAGATGGTGTGGGGGACCCGCGGCCTCCAGCATCCTGCTGGGTCACCTGGGGGCTCCCACAGCACTGGAAGGCTCCCTGGGGAGAAAAGCCACATGAGGCTGCAGGGAGCCCCACCACCGCGAGGGGGCGCCTCGCCTGGTCTGGGTCCAGTCCTCAGCCCTGGCACCCTGACCTCTCCCTTTCCATCTGTAGGTGGGATTGACACTATCCAATGAGAAGGCTGCCCAGGCGCAGGTGACCCTGGGGAAGCCCCAGACCAGTACTTCCACAAGCACCGTGCTTTGATCTTTCTGGATTCCAAGTCAGTCCCTCAATGAAAACCCCTGAAAGCCTTACTGTGCACAAATGCCTCTTATTATGGTTAGACTACAACAGCAAGGTGGCACCATTCGGGTCTGCAGAATAGCTTTCGCAAAGCGGGTCTCTTGTACCCTGTCAAAAGTTTGCCCCAACCCAGCAAGGAGAGAAAGTTCACCCCGAGTGGTAACCTAGCAGGTCACCGAGAAACCACCCCGGGTCACGCACAAGAACGCAGAGGGATGGACAGGCCCTCTGAGACCAGAGGCCAGAAGACGTTAGGAGCCACCTCCTGCAAGCCCCTCCTTGCTCAAGTTAAATGAAACCAGTGTCTAGAATCCACAAATCCACAATTTACATCCAAAACAGATGAGCTGGCGGTTATTTCCATAATGATGCTGCAACGATCACACTCCACGGGCTGTTAGCCTTACTCGTAAATAAAATATAAATCAACAAAACAGGAAGTCTGGTTTGCATTATACACGGCCTATTTTCCTTCAGTAGGAAAACAATACAAAATTATTTAAATGTGTATATTTTATATTCTGGCATGCAATATTGAGTGAAGATTCTATTATTTGTGTTTTCTCATAATAAAAATGTGTGCTCGAAAACAATCAGAAATTACAGCTAGGAAAGAACACAACGAACACGGAAGCCCACCTGCCCATAAAAGGACCTTTATAAATAGCTTGAGGACCCCCAACCCAGGTCCTTTCTTATGCACGTGCAAGGGCATATAAACACAGATAACTAGTAACACAGGCTAAGCTATTCTGAAAGCATTTTATTTATTTTTTTCTTGGCATAATAGACTGAGTTCCACCATCATTAAACAGCAGCACCACATCCCCTTGCAGGGTGTCCAACATCTGGTGCGCCTGTCGCCCACTCTGGGTACCTCCTTTAGCCTCAACTTTTTATTATTACAGTCAGTGCCGCAGTCTCCACGAGCACCCTTCATATTTCATCAGGATCAATGCCCAGAATTGATCCGGCTGACTCAAGCTGTCCTCAGGAAAGATCGTACCAATAGACACACCTACTAGCTGCATCCAAGAGTTCCTGTTTCACTTCAAAGGGTGAATTTAGAAACAGGTATCAGAACTTGGGCATTCAAGTCCAAAGAAAGCAAACCAACTCTCCTGATGCTGCCAAGCTGAAGGGGACTCGCAGCTTTCTCCTTTGAAATAATCCTTTAGCACAAACAACAGGTTGCCTTCCACTAGGCATCGGCCTTATCCTTTGTGGTAATTTTTATTTGGGTGTGTTAACAGCCAGCGAGATACTAGTTACCAGCCGCTTGGCAAAAAGGGACCAGCAAGATGTCAGCAAGCTTTAGGACTGGAATCTCCTGAAAGACTCCCTAAAACAGAGAGGGCCTCGCTTCTGCCTCCTGCTGGCTGGAATGCAGACTAACACGTGGGCGCTCCAACAGCCCTGTGGGATCACAAGGTGACCCACTAGGAATGTTGGAGCAAGGTGGAATGACCTGGTCCCCAGGAGTGTGGAGCCACGGGGGAACCCTGGACTGCTCCCCTCCAGACTTCTCCGCAGACAGAGTTTTAGGCCATTTGTCACATGGAAGCAACCCCAACTGAGACACAGCTTCAGAACTATCAGGGAAGAAGAAAACAATTCCTGTTGGATTGTGTCGCTTCCTTCCGCGGAATTCTCTCGCGACTGCTTCTGCCTGCTTCTCAGAACTAACCTACACAAGAATACTGAGCAGCTGACTCCCCGTGATCACACAGGAAAGCTTACGTGTGGAGCTCCGCAAGCGTGCAGCTGCATTTACTACCTACCGAAGTGACTGTCTTAAGGAGAACACAAACCTGAATTTGCAAGGCTCACATATTTACAGAACACACATACACACACTCTTCTCATCAAAACTCTCCCTTAAAGACATCTCATTATCAAATGGGTTAAATGATTTCTTAATTTCACGTAGTAACTTATGGAAGTCACTTCAAGGGTAAGATCTAAAGAAATCTTGAAATTACATATCCTGATTTCGAGTGTTTGGGACAACAGAATTAAGTCCGTCTGTCCTTTGGTTTTCTGTCCATGCAGAACTGTTGACTGGGCGTGTGCTGCACCTGCTCGCCAGGCAGTCCCTGTCCTCCAGGGATGGACGACACACCACGTGGGACAGGACTGAGTGCAGGTGCTGGTGTAGCCCAGGCTCTGAGCTCCAGAGAAGACTGTGCAGTGATGAGGCTGGAGATGAAAGCAGGAAGATGAGAGGAATAAAGAACATTGCAGATGGAGTCTCACGTAACACAAGTGGGCTGCTGCAAGCTCACCAGGTATCACACGGATCCGAGAAGTTCAACAAACCAAACACACAAACGAGGTTCAGGGTCGCCTTCCAACAGGTGCCAGCAGTGGTGTACACACACACACAGCCTGCTCGGAGCCCTGGATTCCCAGAGCTGGCTCTGTGCTGGGCCAGCACCATCCGGCTTTGTGAGCAGAGGAGAGAGGGGAGCTACCCCGCGATCTCACTATCACTGAGACTAAGGTAGACCAGTATCCCCTTGCAGCGTCCTCTTTTCCTCACGTACAATTTCAAGAAAACGTGACATAAAATGAGAAACAAGAGACATTAAGATCAATTAGTTACTCGAGTGGTAATAAACACTGGGGAGCATTTAAAAAAGAAAACAGAAAAATGCCCCCACAAATGTGCTTGCCATGGATCGCACCCCGATATAAACGTCGCACTTTTGCAGGATGAAAATGAACAAAGACACCTCACCCAGTGCCCGCATTTCACATCTCACATCCCTCGGGACAGAGGCCAGCGCAGTGTCCACTGCGGCCTCCCCGTGGGGTCAGTCGGTCGCTGCCGCAACAAGCCACAGTGTGGGGAGCTGCACTGGTTTTCGCGGTGGGTGCAGCTTCAGAAGGAATTCCAGCGAAGCTGCCACAAGGTGAAGGGACCTGAAGCTATGCACAGTCTGTGGGGAGTGAGGGTGGGGCGTGATGGGGAGGAGGACACTTCCGATGAGTGGTGGCCCCGGGGATGGAAGCTGGGGGTCCCCCTTGCTGAGACACACAGTGAGCGTTCTGGGGAACCAGTGGAGAGGTCTGGGATCACACATCCTGCAGCCGGCCCCACAGGACTGCCTTAAATTCTGCCTCATCTCAATGTATATAAATACTATTAGTGTTCAGGACTGCTTAGAGATTTCTTGAAAAGCCCCAGGCGGTGAGTCAAGCCAGCAGATGACAAAACTTTACACTGAGTGCAGTACCAACTCCCCAACCATGGCGCCACGGGGGAGAGGGAGGGAACCCCTTCTCTAGCATCCGCGAGGAGGGGGCACGTGGAGCACTTCAACTTCTAAATACTAAGAGGAACACGGAGTCTACCGTACAGTAACAGATAACAGAGGGAAAGCGAATTGATTTTGTCCAGGAGATGTTGCCAGTCCTTGCAATTCTGACAATGGCCCACAATAAAAACAACAACAACAAAATGCCTATCTAAATTGCTGGGAAAGCAAACAACATGTCCCACACTGACCACGAAAAAGACTGGCCTGGGGTCACAATCACATAAAACACAGCGCTGCATTTAAAAGCTCATTCTCTTCATTTTTGGGGACAGGAAAAAACCTCCCATACATCAGCCTTTACCCCTCTTCCACCCCAGGGTCCTTGCAGTTATTAAAGTCTTTCTAGGGTTTTTTTTTATTATTATTATTTTTATTCTTGCCCGTAAATTCTTTAACGAGCTTCAGCTACAGGAAACCGTTTTTTAAAGTGCACGATACTAACGTGTCCTGCTGGAAGAGCAGAGAGGAGGCAGCCCCCTCAGGAGAAATGCAGGAAGGGCTCTCGGCCACAGAATTCCTCACCACGCAGTTTCATCCCAGATCATTCCTGCAGGACGGAACTAGCTCGGGGATGCTCCAATCAGGTGAAGTTCTCAATCAACACCCAGGGCGGTTTAGGGACATCTTCGCTACTCTGGTTGCCCTAAGATCCACGTGCCCCAGAGAAGGAGGGAGACAGCCTCAGGCTCCGAGATCCAGCGCCGCTAACGCCAGGAAAGTGGATTTCGGCCGCCAGGGGGCATCAGAGAGACACAGATCTTAGCTTCTCTTGCCTTGCAAGGAAAGGAACTGAATCCTCAGACCACAGGGAGGGGCAGTGGGGAAGGAGACCGGGAAGGAGATGGGGAAGGGAGGGGGGGATTCTGGCCTAGTCAGTGGATCCAAGGGTCGGCCCCTCCTCCCCTCAGCGAGGCCCCAGGCAGTCGGAGGAGAGGGAGTGAGAGAGGCTCCAGGTGACCTTCACAGCCTGGCCCCAGGCTGGGTCCTGCAGGCTCAGGGACTCAGCCTGGCCCTGCTGGGGCTCACAGCCTGAGGCTCCCCCCCGGGGGGGGGGGGGGAGGACCCAAAAGGGCAAGCAAAAGGCTGAGTAGGGCAGTTGCCCAGGGGAGGGACTTCCAGGCCAGAGCCTGACAAGTGAGCAGGAGCTGGCAGGTGCCTGGGAATGGTGGCAGAGCCACTGGGGAGAGTGGGCCGAGGAACCGGGGGAGAGAGGAAAACTCAGAACAACTGGACAGAGGCAGGGGAGCTGGGGGGGGGGGGGCAGCGCCTGGGACTCCACCAGCAGAGGTGCGGACTACCTTGGGAGAACAGGGACCATTCTGAGC